AATTTCGCTACTCGAGGACTATTACTAATAGTCCCCTAGTAGCGTAGCCAATCAAAATGCAGGATTTGCATTAGTCCACTAGTTGGGTGATACTAAAACCAGATTAGTTAAAAAGATCGATTGAAAAGATTGTTATCTTCGGCTTGTAAATCCGCTAAAACCTCTTTAGTATAGTAGTCATAAAATTTTCCATTAGTAAGCCCCTTGTAGTGAAACGGGGTCATCGGACCACGATATGGAAGATTAAAGTAATGCCAAAACCACGAAATTAAATCTACTTTTTTACAGCTTCAGTTCCTGTAATCACGAAAATTTATATTAGCGAAATACAGCTCCCGAATTTTTGCGAAATTAACTACGCGCGAAAGTTAGTACGAATAAGTTAGCTAATTAAGATAGTTTATAGCTAATTTAAAGAGGTAATATTAAAGTCTAAGACGTCTGAAGTATACAAATTATTGAGGAACTTTCCGCTGGAGTAAACAAAAATCCTCGCTGAAGCTTGCTAAGCGGCAACAATTGCTGCGTGACTGGGGTGATCAATGTCATGCAATCATGCAATCATGAGAAAGACTGGGTATGAGGCATTTCAACATGGCGAGAAGCATCAACAGGATTCGTCTTCATGACAGAGATGTTTTTCCTGCAGTAACCGAAGGTCCTGCCAATGTATTTTCAAGCACTCCGTTCCTTTTAGTAAAAGCCAGGTAAGATGTAAGCACTGAAATTATTGAATTCCTTTTCCCGCCAAAACTATTCTCGTAGCTACAACTACAGCATCCATTCACTGAACGCTTAATAACGCGTCGACCAAGACAAACTTATCTTATCATCCAGCAAAATATTGAAAACCATTGTAGATCATAATAATCTATGTACGCATGTAGACCTTCAAAAGACACTCAAACAAAGCAGGTACGTGTTTCACAACTCTCAGAACAGCTGGACAGATAAGTACATATAAGGCTCTGCTTCGCGTTTGCGAGTTTGCATTTGGTGAAGTTGCTTCTGTTTGGCTTCCGAGTGAGCGTTAGCCAAATGTTTTGCAACAAAGTAATCAAGCTAATTCATGGCTGGGAAAGTCTTCATTATTGCAATTTAATCTAGACTTGTCAGAAACTGGCCTCGTTGCAGAATAGATGCACTTAAATTTCTCACAACGCAATCCCAGGAGGCGGGGGAAGGGGAGGTGTACTTGCCTTGAACATTTCCGGGGGGTGGGTGGGGGGGTGGTTGAAGTTTGTGAACTGAGGACTTAGAGGGGATTGAAATGTTTTTGAGCCTGTTTCCAGGTGAAAGATTGGTAAGGACTTTTGAAGGTAACAAAAAGTGTAACCCAAAGTTTGCATTTTCACAATCACTTTCATTTACAAGCAGATGTATTTATAGTATATGCAATTAGATATTTTATGATAACTGCAGAAATTCTCACACACCCATTGGCAGATTTTCATCGTCAATATGCGGACAGACACACGAATTTATAATTTATGAGATGTGTCAATGAGCGAGAAAGGACAATTTGACAATCTGTTATTGTAAAAACAAATTGATGTCAGTTTTTCATACGTCTGTCCTGTTACTGACTATGAATTTCATCGTAATATTGTCAAAGAAGTCTGCGGATCTACTTGGCTATCACCTCGTGGATCCACAGCTACTTTGACAATGTTATGACGAAAATTCATCATCAAATAACAGGACAGACGTATGAAAAACTGACATCAATTTGTTAAACAGCCCAAAGAAAATATGGGCACTGATTGGTTTAAAATTGTGTTTCTATTTAACAGTTAGATTATGAGCTCGAGATTTCTATGAGGTGACATCACCTCATAGAAATCAAGAGCAAATAATCTAATTGTTTTAGTAGAATTCTCATTGAAATTTCCTTCAAATAACGATTCCAATTATTTCCGGTCTTAGTAAAAGAGGATTCTCGCAGACTGAATTAACTGAATGTACATTTGACATTAGCAGTTGTGTATGTATGTTTATCAGTTTCTTTCAAGAATTTTGAGCTTTTTAATTCAAGAAACTGTAAATGCCCTCCTTTTAGTCTTCCCAGGAGTTTTGTTTATACATTTGTTTCTAATTGTTCTTTCAAAGCTTCGGAGAAATGAGGAAACATTGTAATTTTGTTGACCACACCAACTTGAAGCAAAGGCACACTAATGGCTAATAGTGTGCGATGGCTCAGCCAATCAGATTACAGCATGTGCATTAGTATACTAGTAGAATTCTACTAATAAACAATTAGATTATGAGCTTGAGGTTTCTATCGCGTGGGAGTTGACGAGGGTGCAGCCCAAAAGCTATGGAAATACTTGCCTAATGGCTCATGTTCCCACAGCATTTCTCATTCTCACAGACTTTCACTTGTGATTTTATAACAGAAACATGGTACATGTGTTCTATTTCATAAATAGCAAGGAGACGTGGGTAAAGGCTGCCTACAAGGCATCTCTGGTTTAATTTGATTTTGTTATTATCTACTTTAGATGAAAAAAATACAGTTGAGCTTATTGTGAAACCAAATCAAATTGACATGTCACCATCTCAATCTACCAGGAGCATTATTTACAGGAGCATAATTTTTAATGTTATTAGATTTTGAGTTATAAAATCATCCAATCCCAGAAAGCCAAAAAGTAGTCGTACCTGCATCCCATACCAGGATCAGCAGGTCAAATGACAATCATCCTAGCCCATGGAAGGAAATTTGTTTATACTACCAGTCAAATGAATTTACAAGAATGGACTTGAAATGAAAAAAAACAAAAAACACTTAACTCTCAGTGTCTCTCTCCACTCAGGTGTATAAATGTGTACTGGCAAATTTATTGCTGGCATAGCCTTACAATTGATTAGCATCCCTATTTCAGGATCTAGTCAATTAATACTACAGAAATCAGGGCTACTTGTCCTGATGCAGATGTACATGACCTTATCTACCTTCACCTCAGGCGAGTTTTCTTCACCTCAGCAAGGCTGTAGTCTAAGAAAAATTATAAGGAGCCCAAACGTTCCTAACCATGGAATATTACAGACGGTGTAATCCTGGGTGCCCAGCACTTATTGCTTACAGCTGTATATGAAAAAAGTGGCTTTTCCAGTCACCCAAAGGCAAAAGTTAGTTGCCTGTAGCACCCGGGTGCCCCTATCTAGCACACCCCTGCCTCAGCAACTTCAAACAATTTTCTAACTCCTGGAATAGAGAAAAGATAAAAGTGTCATATTCTCAAGTAGTAGGAGGATGGAAGTTCTGCATTTTCTAGTCCAACTTATATCCGAATATGACTAGCTATTCCCTGTCATGGCTGTGCTATGGCAGATTTACTGAGAGCTGGACCAATCCTGAAGCATATATTTTGCCAGCTAAAGAAATAACAATATTAAATATCTTTAATTTGTTTGTAAAGGTGGTTAGCAGATGATGTGGCACAGACCTGTCCCCTTTGTTCTCAGAAGTTTACACAGATTCGTAGAAAACACCACTGTCGGCAATGTGGAAACATTCTTTGTAGCAAATGCTGCAATGAGAAGGTAATTAAATCAACTGACAGACTTCTTCTCCTTGCTCCCTTAATACATAGTCGCATATTATGAAATGAATTACAGCCCAGACGTAAAGTTCTGGGAGCTAAGTTGACTAGATCTGCCTTTTGTTTAGTAAATGTCTTTTTAAAGATAGGTAGATAGGTGTCTTTAGAGCTAGCGTTTACTGTCCCTTACATGTGATTGCTTTATGCCAAAGAAAAGGATGCCCAAAAAGGAAATATCTGAGACTCATTGAAACATAAAGACCATTTTTTGAAAATCCAAAACCAAGACTCCAATGATTTTAGACTTATGATCAGAGGCTGAAATAAATGCAGAAAAAGTTCTCGTAAGACTCGTTATAAATGATTGTGAGATTTTGAGATTGGACAAAACTTTTCCAGGAAAAAAGGTAAACTCTGCATATGGGCCACCAGAGCTTATCCCAGTTTCTGCAGCATGAAGTGACTAGGAGTATTTCTACTCCCCCTTGGATGCAATGCTAGTCCATCACAGGGTTACCCACAGCATTAAGTTCGCCAGTACCCATGGGTGGACAGAGGCACTGCAAGAGTAAAGCATATTGCCCAAGAACACAACACAATGTCTCCGGCCAGGGCTTGAACCCAGGCCACTCGATTTGGAGACATGTACACTAACCATGAGGCCACTGTGCCTCCCAATCTTTTCCAAGACCCAAGATATTGTAGGAACCAATGTCCACCCCTACAGAAATGGGGGTGAGGTAAATTCTGGCTTTGTGGGCTACTTTGGCCTGAGCTCAGGTTTGCCTACCTTCAATTAGTACAACTGTACAAGCTCAGATGTCATATACGTTCTTTTAATAACAATGATTAAAAGACCATACATGGCAACTGTATTAATTAAACATGTTTTATAGGTTCCTCTTCCACAACTTGGATTCGAAGAACCAGAGAGAATTTGTGACAATTGTCTTGAAGTGACATCCCTTGTGACGAAGTCAAGATCACTGCAGATGGTACAAAGAGATTCCTTAAGTTATAGTTCATTGTTATAACCCAATTTATCATATCCCATATGCTATCTAGGTTGTTGTTAATATTCCATTTATAGTCTGAGAATGAGCTCCATTTTTGGCAAACCTTTGTTGAGAAACATGACCAGTACACCTGCCAATTTTTATTACCATTCGATGCATTTTTCCTCCTTTTCATTGGCCAAGAGCCCACCATGTGACCTGCAAATAACTGCCTACAAATAATGGCCTGCTCTGCAAATAATGGTTTACAGTAGGTGCAAATAAAATTCTGCTCATGCATAGTAATTGCATAATAATGAATTGTAACCATGCTCTTGGTTGAAAAAAATGGCAGATCGCTTCCCTGAGATTCCAAAGAGTAACTTAAAATAATTATGAGAACAAACTTGGTGATCGAATGATAAAGCAATTATTGAACTTGGTTATCATGAAATATTATGATTTGTCAGTGTCTTACAGATCAGTTATTTGCCTGAGCCTTTGGCTTTGGCAAATAATAATTGATCTCCTTGCCACTGACAACTCGTGATATTTTGCTCAACCTCATCCAATAATTGTTTATTATCCGGTCACAGATTGTAACATATTTTAAGCATATTTCAACCATGGAACAGCACAAGCAAATAAGAGTACAACAACTAGATAAAAGATGTCACACAATTGTGATGTGATCAGTTTCTTTACTACTTGCATTGTACAGATGGAGGTGCAGTCATTTTCTTGGAGAACAAAGTTATCATAAGTTTGTGTTTGCTTCTGCAATGCAGGTTGAATCATCTCAACCACGCTCAAACTCACTCCGTGTTTCAGCCAGCCTTTCAATACATTAGAACTCAATGTTAAATTAAGAATTCTCTTTTCTGGTTATCGCTGTTCCTATTTATGCGCACCACCTCAACGCTATGGACAGTTTTAATGTCTTGGTAGTAATTTTGGTGGCTTGAACATACATTATTTACATGGTACAGTTGTTATATAGGACTTACATGTACATTTTCTGGTAAGCATTGATCATTAATTAATGATATTAATGATGCATTTTCAAGCTGTACACTGTGTTCCTATTGAAATCCACATTAACTTTCCACAGAGGAAGGTGGGGAGCAGGGGCAGTGCAGTGGGAAGAGCGCTCACCTCCCACCAGTGTGGCCCGGGTTCAAATCCTGGACCTGGTGTCATAAGTGGGTTGAGTTTGTTGTTGGTTCTCGTCCTTGCTCTGAGGTTTTTTCTGGGTTCTCCGGTTTTCCTCCCTCCACAAAAATCAACATTTCTAAATTCCAATTTGATCTGGAATTTGAGGGCCATAGGTCTGTCAGTCGTAAGACTGTTGTGTGTTACCCTTGTTAAACAAAGTTAATTTAAAATTTATTTTATTCCACAATCACCTTTAGTACTAGGTTAATTAGCCATGGATGTCCTTGCCATCTGGGAGGAATTTCTTGGAATAATATTTTGGAAAATGTTATCTACAGGAGCTTGATGTAGTGCTTTAATTTATGTTAACTTTGTAGTCTTTCAAGTTAGAAGCTGCTAAGGGTTTGACAGAGTTGTGCAAGGATCCTGCTGGACTAACAAAGGTGGGAAGAAAAAATATGATATGTAGATAACTACTGAGCAACTGTGATAAACACATGTACTTACTGTGGTTTAAATATAGATTATTGCATGTTTAATACCATTTCACAGGTGAGTGAGTCTTCAACTGCATGAGCGATATGGTATTAGAAACTCTCTCACAAGGGTCACTCTCTCCCAAGGGTGTAGCATTGTATCACACAGAGAGAGAGAGAGAGAGAGCCAGAACTGGACTTATATGCACTCTCCTTAGATTGAGTGTATTTGCAAGGCTATCACAGGTTACACTCAAGCTCCAGTGTTATTTTTAAGATTGGCCCTGATCGGCGATTAATTTTCTAGTACCCATTTTACACGCTTGGGTGGTGAGACACAGGAGAGGCACACTGAGAAGAAAATGTTGTGCACAAGCCACAGCTAGCCTTGACACTCTTGAACTAGATACACTGTCCATATGACCACTGTACTGCTCTCCCTTCCTTACTGTTGTGACAGCTGTATGAATTTACTCAGTAAAATAAATTTATGATGTATTGGGCCAACTATAAGACGTTATATTATGTACCGGTAACATTGAGAAACTTTGGGACATTTTTTTAAAATCAGGTTGTTGAAATGGGTGGAGTCCAAACACTGATATTTCTTAGCCAAAGTGGAAATGATGAAGTGAAAGTAAGTAATGTTGTGGTTTTCGAAAACTTAATCAAACTTTTTTCTTTGATATAAGAATATTTGTGCAATTTTGATGTTGAATACTTTTATCTCAAAATTCATGCTGAAAATAAATCATAATTATAATTTATTATATGTTTACTGTATAGCTGATAGTGGTTACATGAAGCTGAGAGAAATAATGAAAAACTTGAGTCCCAATCTTGAAACCATGTTTAATTAGCAAGTTCTGTATCTGTAAGTAATGAATGAATGAAACCATTATAATGCAATGGACAAATTTTTAGTTATTGACTTAAAAAGAGAACACTGTATAATTTGTCACTGATCTGTTTAACAGGCAGCTGTTGCTACAGGACTTCAGATCCTCTCCACTCATCCTCCTTTACATTCAGTGTTAGCTAAGTGTGGTGGAATAAAGGCCTTGTGCAGGTGACAACAAGTTGTTTACATCAACATTGGTGCCATGTTCATTATTGTTGACTGCAGCTATATATACAGATCATCTAGTGTGACAACTGATATGCTGATAAATGGGATTATTTTGTACCTAGATGCCTACAAATCTCCATGCATGCTACATGTAGATTATGTTAATGTTGTGTTACAACTGGAATAAATTAATAAAAGTAATTTGAGCAGAATGTAAATGCACATATAGTTTAACAGGCTAGAATGCACACATTTGTATTCTGTTAATTAATTAGTGAATACTTATTTTAGCATACTATCAACTGTGAATGAGAGTCAGGAACAGACACTTATTGATGGAATCAGTGCACTGATGATATTTTGTAAATCACCTGAATTAAAAGCACAAGGTCAGTTAGTAATGTTGAGGTTTGTATATCGAGGTATAGTGTATATGGAGTGCTTTGAACAAATTAACAAATGCAGTTGTTTATAATAAATGATTTTTATTTATCATCTCATCTGTAGTTGGCATCATAATACATCTGTTTCAAGAAAGGTAATTCTTACTAAAATTGTAAAAACACAAACAATGTTAAATGTTATGGTGGTTAATGATAGTTTGACAATGTTTGATTGGTGTCCTCGGTGGTTCGGTGCAATAGAAGGGGAAGGAATGAACTTGCATGGATTCATGGTTTCTCCTGACACTGTGCTGAGATATCAACAGCAAACTTTCATTATGCTTGATACCTTTTGACATTATCGCTTTTACAATTTTGTAGAATGACCATTCTTGAAACAGATGTATCCAGACCTGTAACATCTCGGAGCTGCCAGTAACAGCAAGGAAATAGTGAACTGATGGCATGAACTTTGAACTTGCAATCTACTGTATATTTCAACATGAGTTTTTGTTACTGTTAGCTCATGTTACTCTATGCTCGTTTTACAGCATTAGCTGATGGTGCATTAGATCCTGTTCTTACAATGTGTGCAATGAAAGAAGCCATAGCACTTCTTGCTCTGATGACATTAAGTCACATTGTTGAACATCATGGAAACTTGGCACCCCTTATAGAGGTCAGTATGGGAAACCAAGTTTTATGTAAGTGAAATGTTTTCTTTTGATAACGAAATGATGATTGTTTTTTCATGTGTATTTCTTGTAGAGCAATCGGAATGCACTGCCTAGAATTTTAGCATTGACAAAGGCACAAGATGAAAAGGTATACAGCACCAGAAAGAGCCTTGAATTATTTGAAACTCATACATAATTATGCAGAGTTAACATGTAGTTCATGTTCATTTGATTCCCTACTTTAATAAGGGTAAAATCTGTCCTGCAACCTGGAGCCAGAAAACCTGCCACAGCTAATTTCTAACTCATGGAGCTAGGGAAGTAATCATAAAAATTAATACATGCATGTATCTTAAGACAAACTGAAATAATTTCTAAGCATGTATGTACACTACAATGTTAATTCAAAACAATGTACTTTACAACAGGCATTTAAGTCTAATTGATTACAACCATAATTTATAGATTCAAGAGATATCATTAAGAATTCTTGCACAGATGTCTGTTGGAACAGACTGGCAGAGGCATCGTATTGTGCAGGTAACATTATTAATAAAATTTTCTGTTGGCATAGAGATTATTAGTATGCTGGACACAACTGTTCTGGATCAACGTTTTACGACAAAAAATTAAAACAAGCAGAGTGATGCAAATAATTTTGTGAGTGTCTTAAACTTTATTAAATTCCACTCATGGAAATTTATTTTCATATTGATCACGCAAGGAAGACTTGAGTTACAGAGAATCTAAATTTGCGGAATGAATAACAAAAGTACGGAAAATTGTGTGATTTCTGAGGAAAAAAATAGTCATAGTTTACATTGACATGGTAGTGTTAGATCGGTGTTGTTGTGCGAAGAACATTGTTGCGTGTTTGTGGAATTCTTTCATGAATTAGACGAGATGTTATGAAGAAGGAGCGATATCCATCTAAGCAGCACTATAATCCTGAAATACATCAGCAAAGATTCGAGTTGTGATGCTACTACCACTGAAGGCCACAAGGCAAAGCAAAGAAAGTTATTTCAAGCTGTTAAACAAGAAATTGTGAGAAAATGGCAAGCTCCTGGAAGGTGAGCTCCGAAAAAGGTCCGAAAACTTTCCTAAAAGCAAAAATAGCACTGTTTGAGGTTCTTGGCTGATCATGCTTTAACACANAAATTTATTGCTGGCATAGCCTTACAATTGATTAGCATCCCTATTTCAGGATCTAGTCAATTAATACTACAGAAATCAGGGCTACTTGTCCTGATGCAGATGTACATGACCTTATCTACCTTCACCTCAGGCGAGTTTTCTTCACCTCAGCAAGGCTGTAGTCTAAGAAAAATTATAAGGAGCCCAAACGTTCCTAACCATGGAATATTACAGACGGTGTAATCCTGGGTGCCCAGCACTTATTGCTTACAGCTGTATATGAAAAAAGTGGCTTTTCCAGTCACCCAAAGGCAAAAGTTAGTTGCCTGTAGCACCCGGGTGCCCCTATCTAGCACACCCCTGCCTCAGCAACTTCAAACAATTTTCTAACTCCTGGAATAGAGAAAAGATAAAAGTGTCATATTCTCAAGTAGTAGGAGGATGGAAGTTCTGCATTTTCTAGTCCAACTTATATCCGAATATGACTAGCTATTCCCTGTCATGGCTGTGCTATGGCAGATTTACTGAGAGCTGGACCAATCCTGAAGCATATATTTTGCCAGCTAAAGAAATAACAATATTAAATATCTTTAATTTGTTTGTAAAGGTGGTTAGCAGATGATGTGGCACAGACCTGTCCCCTTTGTTCTCAGAAGTTTACACAGATTCGTAGAAAACACCACTGTCGGCAATGTGGAAACATTCTTTGTAGCAAATGCTGCAATGAGAAGGTAATTAAATCAACTGACAGACTTCTTCTCCTTGCTCCCTTAATACATAGTCGCATATTATGAAATGAATTACAGCCCAGACGTAAAGTTCTGGGAGCTAAGTTGACTAGATCTGCCTTTTGTTTAGTAAATGTCTTTTTAAAGATAGGTAGATAGGTGTCTTTAGAGCTAGCGTTTACTGTCCCTTACATGTGATTGCTTTATGCCAAAGAAAAGGATGCCCAAAAAGGAAATATCTGAGACTCATTGAAACATAAAGACCATTTTTTGAAAATCCAAAACCAAGACTCCAATGATTTTAGACTTATGATCAGAGGCTGAAATAAATGCAGAAAAAGTTCTCGTAAGACTCGTTATAAATGATTGTGAGATTTTGAGATTGGACAAAACTTTTCCAGGAAAAAAGGTAAACTCTGCATATGGGCCACCAGAGCTTATCCCAGTTTCTGCAGCATGAAGTGACTAGGAGTATTTCTACTCCCCCTTGGATGCAATGCTAGTCCATCACAGGGTTACCCACAGCATTAAGTTCGCCAGTACCCATGGGTGGACAGAGGCACTGCAAGAGTAAAGCATATTGCCCAAGAACACAACACAATGTCTCCGGCCAGGGCTTGAACCCAGGCCACTCGATTTGGAGACATGTACACTAACCATGAGGCCACTGTGCCTCCCAATCTTTTCCAAGACCCAAGATATTGTAGGAACCAATGTCCACCCCTACAGAAATGGGGGTGAGGTAAATTCTGGCTTTGTGGGCTACTTTGGCCTGAGCTCAGGTTTGCCTACCTTCAATTAGTACAACTGTACAAGCTCAGATGTCATATACGTTCTTTTAATAACAATGATTAAAAGACCATACATGGCAACTGTATTAATTAAACATGTTTTATAGGTTCCTCTTCCACAACTTGGATTCGAAGAACCAGAGAGAATTTGTGACAATTGTCTTGAAGTGACATCCCTTGTGACGAAGTCAAGATCACTGCAGATGGTACAAAGAGATTCCTTAAGTTATAGTTCATTGTTATAACCCAATTTATCATATCCCATATGCTATCTAGGTTGTTGTTAATATTCCATTTATAGTCTGAGAATGAGCTCCATTTTTGGCAAACCTTTGTTGAGAAACATGACCAGTACACCTGCCAATTTTTATTACCATTCGATGCATTTTTCCTCCTTTTCATTGGCCAAGAGCCCACCATGTGACCTGCAAATAACTGCCTACAAATAATGGCCTGCTCTGCAAATAATGGTTTACAGTAGGTGCAAATAAAATTCTGCTCATGCATAGTAATTGCATAATAATGAATTGTAACCATGCTCTTGGTTGAAAAAAATGGCAGATCGCTTCCCTGAGATTCCAAAGAGTAACTTAAAATAATTATGAGAACAAACTTGGTGATCGAATGATAAAGCAATTATTGAACTTGGTTATCATGAAATATTATGATTTGTCAGTGTCTTACAGATCAGTTATTTGCCTGAGCCTTTGGCTTTGGCAAATAATAATTGATCTCCTTGCCACTGACAACTCGTGATATTTTGCTCAACCTCATCCAATAATTGTTTATTATCCGGTCACAGATTGTAACATATTTTAAGCATATTTCAACCATGGAACAGCACAAGCAAATAAGAGTACAACAACTAGATAAAAGATGTCACACAATTGTGATGTGATCAGTTTCTTTACTACTTGCATTGTACAGATGGAGGTGCAGTCATTTTCTTGGAGAACAAAGTTATCATAAGTTTGTGTTTGCTTCTGCAATGCAGGTTGAATCATCTCAACCACGCTCAAACTCACTCCGTGTTTCAGCCAGCCTTTCAATACATTAGAACTCAATGTTAAATTAAGAATTCTCTTTTCTGGTTATCGCTGTTCCTATTTATGCGCACCACCTCAACGCTATGGACAGTTTTAATGTCTTGGTAGTAATTTTGGTGGCTTGAACATACATTATTTACATGGTACAGTTGTTATATAGGACTTACATGTACATTTTCTGGTAAGCATTGATCATTAATTAATGATATTAATGATGCATTTTCAAGCTGTACACTGTGTTCCTATTGAAATCCACATTAACTTTCCACAGAGGAAGGTGGGGAGCAGGGGCAGTGCAGTGGGAAGAGCGCTCACCTCCCACCAGTGTGGCCCGGGTTCAAATCCTGGACCTGGTGTCATAAGTGGGTTGAGTTTGTTGTTGGTTCTCGTCCTTGCTCTGAGGTTTTTTCTGGGTTCTCCGGTTTTCCTCCCTCCACAAAAATCAACATTTCTAAATTCCAATTTGATCTGGAATTTGAGGGCCATAGGTCTGTCAGTCGTAAGACTGTTGTGTGTTACCCTTGTTAAACAAAGTTAATTTAAAATTTATTTTATTCCACAATCACCTTTAGTACTAGGTTAATTAGCCATGGATGTCCTTGCCATCTGGGAGGAATTTCTTGGAATAATATTTTGGAAAATGTTATCTACAGGAGCTTGATGTAGTGCTTTAATTTATGTTAACTTTGTAGTCTTTCAAGTTAGAAGCTGCTAAGGGTTTGACAGAGTTGTGCAAGGATCCTGCTGGACTAACAAAGGTGGGAAGAAAAAATATGATATGTAGATAACTACTGAGCAACTGTGATAAACACATGTACTTACTGTGGTTTAAATATAGATTATTGCATGTTTAATACCATTTCACAGGTGAGTGAGTCTTCAACTGCATGAGCGATATGGTATTAGAAACTCTCTCACAAGGGTCACTCTCTCCCAAGGGTGTAGCATTGTATCACACACAGAGAGAGAGAGAGAGAGCCAGAACTGGACTAATATGCACTCTCCTTAGATTGAGTGTATTTGCAAGGCTATCACAGGTTACACTCAAGCTCCAGTGTTATTTTTAAGATTGGCCCTGATCGGCGATTAATTTTCTAGTACCCATTTTACACGCTTGGGTGGTGAGACACAGGAGAGGCACACTGAGAAGAAAATGTTGTGCACAAGCCACAGCTAGCCTTGACACTCTTGAACTAGATACACTGTCCATATGACCACTGTACTGCTCTCCCTTCCTTACTGTTGTGACAGCTGTATGAATTTACTCAGTAAAATAAATTTATGATGTATTGGGCCAACTATAAGACGTTATATTATGTACCGGTAACATTGAGAAACTTTGGGACATTTTTTTAAAATCAGGTTGTTGAAATGGGTGGAGTCCAAACACTGATATTTCTTAGCCAAAGTGGAAATGATGAAGTGAAAGTAAGTAATGTTGTGGTTTTCGAAAACTTAATCAAACTTTTTTCTTTGATATAAGAATATTTGTGCAATTTTGATGTTGAATACTTTTATCTCAAAATTCATGCTGAAAATAAATCATAATTATAATTTATTATATGTTTACTGTATAGCTGATAGTGGTTACATGAAGCTGAGAGAAATAATGAAAAACTTGAGTCCCAATCTTGAAACCATGTTTAATTAGCAAGTTCTGTATCTGTAAGTAATGAATGAATGAAACCATTATAATGCAATGGACAAATTTTTAGTTATTGACTTAAAAAGAGAACACTGTATAATTTGTCACTGATCTGTTTAACAGGCAGCTGTTGCTACAGGACTTCAGATCCTCTCCACTCATCCTCCTTTACATTCAGTGTTAGCTAAGTGTGGTGGAATAAAGGCCTTGTGCAGGTGACAACAAGTTGTTTACATCAACATTGGTGCCATGTTCATTATTGTTGACTGCAGCTATATATACAGATCATCTAGTGTGACAACTGATATGCTGATAAATGGGATTATTTTGTACCTAGATGCCTACAAATCTCCATGCATGCTACATGTAGATTATGTTAATGTTGTGTTACAACTGGAATAAATTAATAAAAGTAATTTGAGCAGAATGTAAATGCACATATAGTTTAACAGGCTAGAATGCACACATTTGTATTCTGTTAATTAATTAGTGAATACTTATTTTAGCATACTATCAACTGTGAATGAGAGTCAGGAACAGACACTTATTGATGGAATCAGTGCACTGATGATATTTTGTAAATCACCTGAATTAAAAGCACAAGGTCAGTTAGTAATGTTGAGGTTTGTATATCGAGGTATAGTGTATATGGAGTGCTTTGAACAAATTAACAAATGCAGTTGTTTATAATAAATGATTTTTATTTATCATCTCATCTGTAGTTGGCATCATAATACATCTGTTTCAAGAAAGGTAATTCTTACTAAAATTGTAAAAACACAAACAATGTTAAATGTTATGGTGGTTAATGATAGTTTGACAATGTTTGATTGGTGTCCTCGGTGGTTCGGTGCAATAGAAGGGGAAGGAATGAACTTGCATGGATTCATGGTTTCTCCTGACACTGTGCTGAGATATCAACAGCAAACTTTCATTATGCTTGATACCTTTTGACATTATCGCTTTTACAATTTTGTAGAATGACCATTCTTGAAACAGATGTATCCAGACCTGTAACATCTCGGAGCTGCCAGTAACAGCAAGGAAATAGTGAACTGATGGCATGAACTTTGAACTTGCAATCTACTGTATATTTCAACATGAGTTTTTGTTACTGTTAGCTCATGTTACTCTATGCTCGTTTTACAGCATTAGCTGATGGTGCATTAGATCCTGTTCTTACAATGTGTGCAATGAAAGAAGCCATAGCACTTCTTGCTCTGATGACATTAAGTCACATTGTTGAACATCATGGAAACTTGGCACCCCTTATAGAGGTCAGTATGGGAAACCAAGTTTTATGTAAGTGAAATGTTTTCTTTTGATAACGAAATGATGATTGTTTTTTCATGTGTATTTCTTGTAGAGCAATCGGAATGCACTGCCTAGAATTTTAGCATTGACAAAGGCACAAGATGAAAAGGTATACAGCACCAGAAAGAGCCTTGAATTATTTGAAACTCATACATAATTATGCAGAGTTAACATGTAGTTCATGTTCATTTGATTCCCTACTTTAATAAGGGTAAAATCTGTCCTGCAACCTGGAGCCAGAAAACCTGCCACAGCTAATTTCTAACTCATGGAGCTAGGGAAGTAATCATAAAAATTAATACATGCATGTATCTTAAGACAAACTGAAATAATTTCTAAGCATGTATGTACACTACAATGTTAATTCAAAACAATGTACTTTACAACAGGCATTTAAGTCTAATTGATTACAACCATAATTTATAGATTCAAGAGATATCATTAAGAATTCTTGCACAGATGTCTGTTGGAACAGACTGGCAGAGGCATCGTATTGTGCAGGTAACATTATTAATAAAATTTTCTGTTGGCATAGAGATTATTAGTATGCTGGACACAACTGTTCTGGATCAACGTTTTACGACAAAAAATTAAAACAAGCAGAGTGATGCAAATAATTTTGTGAGTGTCTTAAACTTTATTAAATTCCACACATGGAAATTTATTTTCATATTGATCACGCATTAAGAATTCTTGCACAGATGTCTGTTGGAACAGACTGGCAGAGGCATCGTATTGTGCAGGTAACATTATTAATAAAATTTTCTGTTGGCATAGAGATTATTAGTATGCTGGACACAACTGTTCTGGATCAACGTTTTACGACAAAAAATTAAAACAAGCAGAGTGATGCAAATAATTTTGTGAGTGTCTTAAACTTTATTAAATTCCACTCATGGAAATTTATTTTCATATTGATCACGCAAGGAAGACTTGAGTTACAGAGAATCTAAATTTGCGGAATGAATAACAAAAGTACGGAAAATTGTGTGATTTCTGAGGAAAAAAATAGTCATAGTTTACATTGACATGGTAGTGTTAGATCGGTGTTGTTGTGCGAAGAACATTGTTGCGTGTTTGTGGAATTCTTTCATGAATTAGACGAGATGTTATGAAGAAGGAGCGATATCCATCTAAGCAGCACTATAATCCTGAAATACATCAGCAAAGATTCGAGTTGTGATGCTACTACCACTGAAGGCCACAAGGCAAAGCAAAGAAAGTTATTTCAAGCTGTTAAACAAGAAATTGTGAGAAAATGGCAAGCTCCTGGAAGGTGAGCTCCGAAAAAGGTCCGAAAACTTTCCTAAAAGCAAAAATAGCACTGTTTGAGGTTCTTGGCTGATCATGCTTTAACACAGTAGTATCTTGTACAATTGTGGCCTGTGTGAAGCGCGAGCTAAAGGCAGCCATATTCAAAACAGACAGAAGACTGGTCTAGTGGCAAGATCAGTTTAAAGACTTCAAAGAAGATCAGCCTCTGAAGACAATATCGTATTTCAGTGGCCAAATAAAGTTGTAAGTCTTTCTTATGCTTTCCTGTCAAAATCTTGCCCAAAAATCCACCAGCAGATAAAGAGTTTCTTCGCAAAACAACATTCTAAATGTGACTCTTATTTCTTAGAAATCGCGTGATTTTACATACTTTTGTGACTCTGTTACCAAATTTGGACAAGGTGTAACGCAAGCCTTTCCAGTGTGATCCATATAAAAATAAGTTTCCATGTGTGGAATTTAGTAGAGTTTAAGACAGTCACAAAATTAGTCATGTCACTTTGTTTGTTTTAATTTTTTTTGGTAAAACGTTGATCCAGAACAGTTTTGTCCAGCATACTAGTTGCATTTAGTTTTCCATCCATGTTGGCAATGATCTTTTCCAAAAAATTCAACAACTTACAGGGCAAAAAACTTCCACTCGTCTGCCAGTCCAAGACGAGTACATTTTGATCTTGGACAAGTGGAATTCCAAAAGCACTTGTCCAAGAGGACAAATAGAATTTACTGAATATTTTTTCCATTGAGTTCTGGGTTGCCCAAGAATCTCTAAACTTTGTAAACTAACCTGGCTTTCCGCAAATGTCTGTTTCTTTTTGCTCAAAAACCCGCCCGTTTTTGGCAGTGTTTTGTTGAAGGCTGGTATCCACATTCCATATTTGGAAAGTGAATAATATGGTGACCTGATGGTGATAACGCGATCTTGTTTGTGACCACAAATTACAAAAATAGCAAGTGATGCTTCGTGAGTTCATAATTGAATGAAGTGATTAACAACGTGGTAAGAATAATGTAGTAGTGGTATGTTTTGTGATCAAGGAAACAATGAAACCTTTTAAAAATGTTTCTTCCTTTATGTCAAGTGCAAAGGTAATCACTACGTATTTTAAAAGTGCTGGAGCATGACACTTGCATTTCCATGTGATTCACCATGTGAGATAAAATCAGATCACATGCTTCATTTCACTGTCAGTGTACACAATGTCAACAAGTTTGCTTGACCTGTGGAATATTGGGAGTAAAAGAAAATCTGAATCCGCAGAGAGCAAAAACATAGCACTGAAATCAGATCAGTTGTTAAGATAAACACTTAAGACCTGGTACATTCAGACTCTAAATTGTATAACCAATAAGTTTTTAATTAATTCATTTTTTTAGTAACTTTAATTTTTTTTTTGGACGAGTGCATTTCACTTACGGGCAACCAAAATCTGAGTGGCACTTGTCCAGTGGACAAGTGGATGGAAAAAAAAGTTTTTTGTGCTGACATATTATGTACAACTTTCAGACCGAGTCTTTTTTGAAAAATTAAATCTTTGCAGGAAGATTTCTCAGCTGGCCGATGTTTAGTTGAAGCACTGACGAGAGGACCAAAAAACTTGCAGGTATAGTATTGTTGATGTCAATACATACCATTTCATTGGACTGGCTCTGTTTAATAAATTTATTCTTTGAAAAATGTAGTGAACTCCTAGTCTGTGAGATTCTGTATGGGTGTGTTACAATCAGACATTTTCAAACAAGTTTGATAAGCAACCTTTTATCCCAAGGTCCTTGTGAATGCTTCATGTCTGATTGCTAACCTAGCGACAGGAGACCAAGATCAGGTATTTGATATGAATCTCTATTTAACCTTGTTCAGTCAGTTAATGGCTTCTTAATATGAAACCTTATTTATTATATATTAAACACCAGTGAAATACCAGGATTTTTCCTTTTACTAAAAAATCATATCTTCATCGCACGCAGTGAAGATACATATGTTATTTGCTGGCTGGGAGGTCCGTATAATGAAAAACCATGACCAAAGTCTTGAAAATTTTCAAGCCTGAGGACACAGTTTTTCACTATACGGACCGACCCTAAGCCGGCAAATAACATGTTTATTTTTTTTTCCTGGAGTAAATTGGCTTTACAGATTACAAATGAGTTTGTTTACGCAGCTCTTGTCATTGAATTTGCTTGCGCGCTGTCTACTAACAATTTCCAAAAAATCTTGGCAACGAGCGAGTAACTCGGATAGTAGACAAAGAAAGATGTATTGAAGAACAGCTTTTTTTAAAAACTACTTTATGTTAGTTACATATATTTCTCCAGTTAAGTTCTTCAAAATTGTTTTTGTGGTGTGACATTGTGTGCAAAGTTTGAAGTTTTACCACAAAAACAATTTCTGTTAGTCGTTGCTTTTAAAATCACTTGAAATCAGACTTTTCTATTGTAAATTGAATAGCAGAGAGCGAGGAAATTCGTTAAGTGCATTCCACAGAAATTCTCCTAAATACAGCAACGATCACAGAGGTAAAGTTGACTGAAATTGACTCAAATTTTACGGCGAGATTGAAACACAGGATTACGTGCCATTACAGTGCCAAGCTGCAAACAACCAAGCAAACTTTCACAACTTCAAAACACTCAATTGAATTTACTTACAGTGACTTTCCTTGCCATTTTAAAGTGAACAGAGACAAACTTGCTTTGACTAATCGTGGATGGATGTGTAAAAAAGGCAAAAGATTGATGATTAACACTAACTTTTAGGAGCGAAATTTAGGCAGCGGGGAAAAAATCTGGCCCGTGGGTCGTAATCATAAAAAGCTGGACCAGTCATGTGCATATGATTAGCCAATGAAACTTAACAAATTTAATAAGAAGTAGGATTTGTGCATGGGCTCTGTACCTTAATTTGCAATCTGTTTATAAGTGTGCTTATACTATGTTTCTAGAAGTGTATTGACTGTAATGTAACTTTTGGGTAATATGTAGATAGACATTAGACAAGTATTGTAATGAAGTGTAAATATAGTAAAGTAAATATAGTACTGTAAGTAGAGTAAGTAGTTGTTTTAGAATTGTAATTAATGTACATGTACGGATATCGAGTTGAACACTTGAAGAAAAAATTCATATCCAGGTGTGGGCATGTAATATCCTCTATATCTTTGGTAAAGAATGAGATGTGAATTTAAATTTAATGACTGTGCAAATCCAATATTATTACCTTTTGAGAAAACACTACACGTCTTGATTTAGTAAGAACTATTCAGCCAGTTTGGATCTATGCACCATAAAATCACCTTTTATAATCACTGCTGACAGCCACCACCACCCTCCCCAACTGCCATCTTGACCATTCTACTACCACCCTCCTCCTGACAACATCTTGTACCCTATCTTCACCACCCTAGCTCGCCTTTTCACCACTGTTTTCATTGGTAACTTCTCATTCACACAGTCATTCACACCAAAACTACTCCTGACCTCTATAAAGTTATACAGACTGCTACTCGTCCCTTTCCCTCCTTACTTGATTCTGGACCCCCAGGCATTAGCTGGGTCAGTTGTAGCCAACTGAAGCCAACTGAATATCTTAAATTACAGCTATTGTCTGAAGTACAGATCAACTGACTACGTCTCATTTGCGACATGTTGTAGATGTCCCTCAGGGATTGTTTAGAAGCCATGTGCTCATTGACTTCATCACACACTGGGCATAAGGACATCCAGGTACTAAATAACTATAATAAAATTGTCAGTATTATCAGTATTTCACAGCTTTGATGGTGATTGAACATAAATTTCAAGACTACATTGTAATTGATAAATTAGTACTACCAATAATTATAAAAATGTTGTTTTTTCTTTTTTTGTGTGTTTTGCACTCTACTTGTTTTTAAAAGCGTATAAAATATCTCTAACAACCAGCTGTCAGAGAAATGAGTTGGAAACCTAATGATAGAGTTTAGAGTGACTTGGACATCTTTTTTTGTACCTTCACTTTCATCAATTTATAACCATTTGTTCTTTACACTACTTTGTTATTATCAAATACTGATTTGTTCATTAATAACTAGTTATATTATTAACAGATTAGTCTGATTTAATGTAGATAATGTGTAATGTGTGTCATCACGGTTTTATACTAGCTTAGTTTCACTGGTCACTTAGGATAAACTCCTGTTTTAGATAAATAGAGACTGAAGTGATTTGCTTTTGCTCATGACAGTCATGTTGTATGTTTTCTTATAGACACATGTATCCAGAGCTCTTGGCAACTTTGCAAATTTCCATCAAAATTCTGCTATTTTGGTATGTATGTGTCAAGGTTAAGCTATTGACACCTGGAGCTTTTTGGCAAAAATGGATTTTTTGGACATTTTCAACATTTTCAGCCTGAATGTGGGCCAAATTCACACCAATCTACTCAAAAACGCATTTGTAAGATGAAAGCGTGCCTCTCTTTCCAAGCTAGCATCACATTTTATAACATTTTTGCTTGGGCAGGCGCAGAAATCAACATTTTGGGATTTTTTTTGGATGAGAAAGTGACCTACGTCTTTAGGCTTTTTGGTTTTTGTCATTTTGTTTGCCTTTTCTTTTTCTCCTTATCTTATCTTTTTGCTGCAGTGGTTGACCTTCTACTGGGCTTACTCCAGTTCAAGAATTTCCAAGAAAACATCATTGAGACAAGAAATTCTTACCACGGAGTAACCAAGTGTAGTTTAGGGCAATTTTGTTTTGAGTTTTTCACTCAAATTTTGGAGCATTTTTGTGCACATTTCCAGCTCAATTGATGACCCAATCACTCTGATCTGGGTATCATTGGAAATATCTTTTCCCCCTGCAGAACTAGAGTATACACAATGCCAGTTTTGGTTAAAGGTGATGATGTCAGAAGAGGAATAAAGGCCAACGCTCATCATGGCCGGNAAAACTTTCCTAAAAGCAAAAATAGCACTGTTTGAGGTTCTTGGCTGATCATGCTTTAACACAGTAGTATCTTGTACAATTGTGGCCTGTGTGAAGCGCGAGCTAAAGGCAGCCATATTCAAAACAGACAGAAGACTGGTCTAGTGGCAAGATCAGTTTAAAGACTTCAAAGAAGATCAGCCTCTGAAGACAATATCGTATTTCAGTGGCCAAATAAAGTTGTAAGTCTTTCTTATGCTTTCCTGTCAAAATCTTGCCCAAAAATCCACCAGCAGATAAAGAGTTTCTTCGCAAAACAACATTCTAAATGTGACTCTTATTTCTTAGAAATCGCGTGATTTTACATACTTTTGTGACTCTGTTACCAAATTTGGACAAGGTGTAACGCAAGCCTTTCCAGTGTGATCCATATAAAAATAAGTTTCCATGTGTGGAATTTAGTAGAGTTTAAGACAGTCACAAAATTAGTCATGTCACTTTGTTTGTTTTAATTTTTTTTGGTAAAACGTTGATCCAGAACAGTTTTGTCCAGCATACTAGTTGCATTTAGTTTTCCATCCATGTTGGCAATGATCTTTTCCAAAAAATTCAACAACTTACAGGGCAAAAAACTTCCACTCGTCTGCCAGTCCAAGACGAGTACATTTTGATCTTGGACAAGTGGAATTCCAAAAGCACTTGTCCAAGAGGACAAATAGAATTTACTGAATATTTTTTCCATTGAGTTCTGGGTTGCCCAAGAATCTCTAAACTTTGTAAACTAACCTGGCTTTCCGCAAATGTCTGTTTCTTTTTGCTCAAAAACCCGCCCGTTTTTGGCAGTGTTTTGTTGAAGGCTGGTATCCACATTCCATATTTGGAAAGTGAATAATATGGTGACCTGATGGTGATAACGCGATCTTGTTTGTGACCACAAATTACAAAAATAGCAAGTGATGCTTCGTGAGTTCATAATTGAATGAAGTGATTAACAACGTGGTAAGAATAATGTAGTAGTGGTATGTTTTGTGATCAAGGAAACAATGAAACCTTTTAAAAATGTTTCTTCCTTTATGTCAAGTGCAAAGGTAATCACTACGTATTTTAAAAGTGCTGGAGCATGACACTTGCATTTCCATGTGATTCACCATGTGAGATAAAATCAGATCACATGCTTCATTTCACTGTCAGTGTACACAATGTCAACAAGTTTGCTTGACCTGTGGAATATTGGGAGTAAAAGAAAATCTGAATCCGCAGAGAGCAAAAACATAGCACTGAAATCAGATCAGTTGTTAAGATAAACACTTAAGACCTGGTACATTCAGACTCTAAATTGTATAACCAATAAGTTTTTAATTAATTCATTTTTTTAGTAACTTTAATTTTTTTTTTGGACGAGTGCATTTCACTTACGGGCAACCAAAATCTGAGTGGCACTTGTCCAGTGGACAAGTGGATGGAAAAAAAAGTTTTTTGTGCTGACATATTATGTACAACTTTCAGACCGAGTCTTTTTTGAAAAATTAAATCTTTGCAGGAAGATTTCTCAGCTGGCCGATGTTTAGTTGAAGCACTGACGAGAGGACCAAAAAACTTGCAGGTATAGTATTGTTGATGTCAATACATACCATTTCATTGGACTGGCTCTGTTTAATAAATTTATTCTTTGAAAAATGTAGTGAACTCCTAGTCTGTGAGATTCTGTATGGGTGTGTTACAATCAGACATTTTCAAACAAGTTTGATAAGCAACCTTTTATCCCAAGGTCCTTGTGAATGCTTCATGTCTGATTGCTAACCTAGCGACAGGAGACCAAGATCAGGTATTTGATATGAATCTCTATTTAACCTTGTTCAGTCAGTTAATGGCTTCTTAATATGAAACCTTATTTATTATATATTAAACACCAGTGAAATACCAGGATTTTTCCTTTTACTAAAAAATCATATCTTCATCGCACGCAGTGAAGATACATATGTTATTTGCTGGCTGGGAGGTCCGTATAATGAAAAACCATGACCAAAGTCTTGAAAATTTTCAAGCCTGAGGACACAGTTTTTCACTATACGGACCGACCCTAAGCCGGCAAATAACATGTTTATTTTTTTTTCCTGGAGTAAATTGGCTTTACAGATTACAAATGAGTTTGTTTACGCAGCTCTTGTCATTGAATTTGCTTGCGCGCTGTCTACTAACAATTTCCAAAAAATCTTGGCAACGAGCGAGTAACTCGGATAGTAGACAAAGAAAGATGTATTGAAGAACAGCTTTTTTTAAAAACTACTTTATGTTAGTTACATATATTTCTCCAGTTAAGTTCTTCAAAATTGTTTTTGTGGTGTGACATTGTGTGCAAAGTTTGAAGTTTTACCACAAAAACAATTTCTGTTAGTCGTTGCTTTTAAAATCACTTGAAATCAGACTTTTCTATTGTAAATTGAATAGCAGAGAGCGAGGAAATTCGTTAAGTGCATTCCACAGAAATTCTCCTAAATACAGCAACGATCACAGAGGTAAAGTTGACTGAAATTGACTCAAATTTTACGGCGAGATTGAAACACAGGATTACGTGCCATTACAGTGCCAAGCTGCAAACAACCAAGCAAACTTTCACAACTTCAAAACACTCAATTGAATTTACTTACAGTGACTTTCCTTGCCATTTTAAAGTGAACAGAGACAAACTTGCTTTGACTAATCGTGGATGGATGTGTAAAAAAGGCAAAAGATTGATGATTAACACTAACTTTTAGGAGCGAAATTTAGGCAGCGGGGAAAAAATCTGGCCCGTGGGTCGTAATCATAAAAAGCTGGACCAGTCATGTGCATATGATTAGCCAATGAAACTTAACAAATTTAATAAGAAGTAGGATTTGTGCATGGGCTCTGTACCTTAATTTGCAATCTGTTTATAAGTGTGCTTATACTATGTTTCTAGAAGTGTATTGACTGTAATGTAACTTTTGGGTAATATGTAGATAGACATTAGACAAGTATTGTAATGAAGTGTAAATATAGTAAAGTAAATATAGTACTGTAAGTAGAGTAAGTAGTTGTTTTAGAATTGTAATTAATGTACATGTACGGATATCGAGTTGAACACTTGAAGAAAAAATTCATATCCAGGTGTGGGCATGTAATATCCTCTATATCTTTGGTAAAGAATGAGATGTGAATTTAAATTTAATGACTGTGCAAATCCAATATTATTACCTTTTGAGAAAACACTACACGTCTTGATTTAGTAAGAACTATTCAGCCAGTTTGGATCTATGCACCATAAAATCACCTTTTATAATCACTGCTGACAGCCACCACCACCCTCCCCAACTGCCATCTTGACCATTCTACTACCACCCTCCTCCTGACAACATCTTGTACCCTATCTTCACCACCCTAGCTCGCCTTTTCACCACTGTTTTCATTGGTAACTTCTCATTCACACAGTCATTCACACCAAAACTACTCCTGACCTCTATAAAGTTATACAGACTGCTACTCGTCCCTTTCCCTCCTTACTTGATTCTGGACCCCCAGGCATTAGCTGGGTCAGTTGTAGCCAACTGAAGCCAACTGAATATCTTAAATTACAGCTATTGTCTGAAGTACAGATCAACTGACTACGTCTCATTTGCGACATGTTGTAGATGTCCCTCAGGGATTGTTTAGAAGCCATGTGCTCATTGACTTCATCACACACTGGGCATAAGGACATCCAGGTACTAAATAACTATAATAAAATTGTCAGTATTATCAGTATTTCACAGCTTTGATGGTGATTGAACATAAATTTCAAGACTACATTGTAATTGATAAATTAGTACTACCAATAATTATAAAAATGTTGTTTTTTCTTTTTTTGTGTGTTTTGCACTCTACTTGTTTTTAAAAGCGTATAAAATATCTCTAACAACCAGCTGTCAGAGAAATGAGTTGGAAACCTAATGATAGAGTTTAGAGTGACTTGGACATCTTTTTTTGTACCTTCACTTTCATCAATTTATAACCATTTGTTCTTTACACTACTTTGTTATTATCAAATACTGATTTGTTCATTAATAACTAGTTATATTATTAACAGATTAGTCTGATTTAATGTAGATAATGTGTAATGTGTGTCATCACGGTTTTATACTAGCTTAGTTTCACTGGTCACTTAGGATAAACTCCTGTTTTAGATAAATAGAGACTGAAGTGATTTGCTTTTGCTCATGACAGTCATGTTGTATGTTTTCTTATAGACACATGTATCCAGAGCTCTTGGCAACTTTGCAAATTTCCATCAAAATTCTGCTATTTTGGTATGTATGTGTCAAGGTTAAGCTATTGACACCTGGAGCTTTTTGGCAAAAATGGATTTTTTGGACATTTTCAACATTTTCAGCCTGAATGTGGGCCAAATTCACACCAATCTACTCAAAAACGCATTTGTAAGATGAAAGCGTGCCTCTCTTTCCAAGCTAGCATCACATTTTATAACATTTTTGCTTGGGCAGGCGCAGAAATCAACATTTTGGGATTTTTTTTGGATGAGAAAGTGACCTACGTCTTTAGGCTTTTTGGTTTTTGTCATTTTGTTTGCCTTTTCTTTTTCTCCTTATCTTATCTTTTTGCTGCAGTGGTTGACCTTCTACTGGGCTTACTCCAGTTCAAGAATTTCCAAGAAAACATCATTGAGACAAGAAATTCTTACCACGGAGTAACCAAGTGTAGTTTAGGGCAATTTTGTTTTGAGTTTTTCACTCAAATTTTGGAGCATTTTTGTGCACATTTCCAGCTCAATTGATGACCCAATCACTCTGATCTGGGTATCATTGGAAATATCTTTTCCCCCTGCAGAACTAGAGTATACACAATGCCAGTTTTGGTTAAAGGTGATGATGTCAGAAGAGGAATAAAGGCCAACGCTCATCATGGCCGGTTACGGCCGACACAGGTGTCAATGGGTTAAATACCAAACTGATTTAAAACTGATTTAAAACGTTGCACGTGTAAAATATAAAATCAGCCCTGAAAAAATGCAGGGGTTTCATTTCAGGCAAAACTCTTTGAACTGAACTTCTTTTTGAGAAAAACTTTCTCTAGATGGTCAAACCAGGCAGGCAAAACTATCCTCACAGTTGCTTAATTTTCTTGCATGGTGCCCAACCCGCAACTAAAACCCTGAAATAACCCTATACATGTATGATAGCTGAGTGTTCATGTGTTCATATGAACACTGGACACCTTGCATAATTTTTTCTATGTTTGTTCCTTCACTTCAGATAGATTATCTTCCAAGCATTGTAGAGACACATCTCAAGGTATTAACTACTAGTTGCAGTAGAATTATGTTAAGTTTAAATCTACTACTTTTAGTTGCTAAAGAAATTAAATATTGAATGTAACAAATTTTCATGGAGTCAACTTAGTTTCAAAATTGGGCTAACATCATCATCATCAGTGAACAAATATACCAGTGGCACTAGAGGTTCATTAGCCACATCCTCAGAATGAAAAAAAAAAAAAAAAATGAATGAATTCCAACCAACATCCCAGGACAGCATTAAACTGGGCTCCGGAGGGAACAAGAGGACTTGTTAGACCAAGAAAGACCTTGCACAGAACCACAGACAGAGAAAGAAAGGGCAGCCTTTGGTTTATATTATGGAGTGGGGCAGTAGTGGTTGGATGTGACTGCGTGGCATGGTGAAGAAGAATTGACAGTCCAATACCCCCAGGAGGTTGTGGTTAAAAGTCATTGACAAGTCAAGTCAACTTAGTTTCAAACATTTTGGTCCAACTCTCAAGGTTCAGTATCTGATTAGTCCAGAAATTCAGAAATTACTGGAAATTTTCTTTTATTCCCATTTGCCCGTGGAGACATTTTTCTAGCGATAACATCAACTCTTTATTAAAACCTAAATTTAAGATGTATGTTTGTGCTGGCAGTGTAAGGCTTTTGCCACTCTGTGGGGCATACTTAACACTGCATTATTTTGGTTTAATTAGTCCACAGATAAGACAATTAAGTGTCATGGCCTTAGAACAGTCATGTATCTCCTCAGCCATCAACGGGAGAGAACTGTAGATGCATTAATAAGGTATTAATAATGAGACAGGCTTAAGCATCCATTTTAAACATAGCATTAATGCTAGGCTCGACATAGTATCTACTGGAGGAGTCTTTATCCAACAGATAACACACTTGTTTTGTTTGTTGACACTATATCCAATGAATCTATCACCTGTCAACAGCTAGGGAAAAGTATTTTTCAACCTTCTCACTCCCAAGAGTACCATACTGCACTTATCACATAGGAGCATGATTGAGTTCATTTCTATAAAATGTGGACACCATGAAGACCTTGGAAAGATGTTTATGTACAGTGAAAGTTTAAAGTCATACTTCCAGGCTCCTACATCTTTTAATTATCCTATTATAATTATTATCATCCTATTGTTGTGAGCAATGGCCTCCATTTGGCATAAAATATGATCTTGAGTGAAATTTGTCTACAAACTTTGTCTGTTCCAAGAAGCAAACAATATTCTGAGAGCGAATCTCGAGGAAAACCGTGAACTTCGGGTTACAGATAATGTCTGCAGATAAATATCAGAGCATATTTTTAAAGTCAAGTGGAGGTTATTGTGTTTATTATCCTTCAAATATTTTTCATAACAAGCATTTTTCTTCAGTGTTTTTTGTTTGCAAAAATTAGGGAATATCACTTAGATGTCCTCAGTTTTAGCTGTGGCATATTCAGTCATTTAGACCAATTGTATTTGAGCAAAAAATATTTGGTGGATTATAACAGTCATCGCTTACCATTAACTTGCAAAAGTTTTCTCTTAAAGGAGAAGGTCACTCCAAAAACCATGTATTTTTTTCCATCACCAATAAAAAGTTCACATTGAGTTGAGTTACTCACTGTTGTTTAAGCTTCTGAAGTGGATGCGATCCCAATGAAAAAGAAGTGAAAAGTTCAACACTGGGAGCCGCCATTTTGAAAGGACCTTGAAGGCCAGGTCACATATCCGTGACGTCATTCAGTCCGAATTGATGCAAAGCTCAAAGGCTAAAGCTGTCCTTTTCTATTCTAAATTCGTTTATTCAGTTGTGAGCTAAAATGTTGGGCCCGTGCTGTAAAACCCGAACCGAAAAGGATAGGGAAAGAGGAGTGACTTTCCTTAATTTGCCTGCAAAGAACAAAGAATTGCCAAAGAAGTGGTTCGAACAACTACGTCGGGATCAGAGATTCATGCCAAAAAAACTCAAAAATGTGTACGTGTGCAATGAGCATTTCGCAGACAGACTGTTTCAAAACTGAATACTGATTTCAGCTTGTGGGTGGAAAGACAAGAAGTAGGTCACTGAAAAATGCTTTCTGACAATTTTTCAATGGAAGGCCCTTGTAAAGGCACGCATTGCAAGCGAACCTCGCATCGCAAGGAACGAAAAGAGGTAGCTATCAGTTATACTTTTCATTTTTAAAAAAATATTTTCACCTGGCAGAACTGTCGTTGACTTGATTTGGTAAATATTATTTCTGCGCAAGAAATTGAAGCTCCTTGTTGGACGGGGACTTAAATTTCAAGAAAAAACCTTGGGACCAGGTGGCCCCTAAGTTTTCAGGTTTGGTCAACAGCACAGTCAAGTATTTTTGTCGCCAAAAATTTTCAACCCTTCAGGCTTAATATATTTTCATGAAAAGACACTAAAATGACGTGAATCATGGGTTTTGCATGTATATATCAGTTTGCCGCTTTTTTTTCTATAATAACAGGGAAAATGGCTGAATGAAATGCTATTCTTCATTAACCAGTCTTACCAGTATTTATAAAAAAAGGTTCCATGTTGCAAGCTTTGATTCATTATTTTTCGTAGACTGGTGCAAGGTTTTTTGTGTTTTCGTGTTCATTGATGCATAGCGACCGCACGCATTTTTTTGGCTGAATTTATTAAATTTCTTAGGGTACCGTGGGAACTTCAAATGCCTTGCAGATTTCTTTAAAATTACATGTCAGACTAACCCGCTTTGGTTTTCTTTTATCGAAAAAGCATTTTTTCGATTTAGAAATCTTTTGTGTGAGCTGAAAACTCAGAGTGTGTTTAATAATCAGCCTTGACAGCCAGGGATAACTTAAAATAGTTACAAATTTTAAATGCTGTCTAATTTGATTTGAAATACATTGGAAGAAGTAGTTAACTGTACATCAGTCCTATCTATATATTTCGACAATTACCGATAACAAGTCCAGTTATAGCAAATTCCCATATCCGCATGTAAATAATATTTTGTCTGAAATGTGTTGCAAATTGTTTTCAATTTTATCAACACAATTCATCATTAATTAAGGACAGTCTTTTTTCATTCACATTATTTTTGGGAATTACAGTTGCTAACAAAAGCAGTGCTACGGTAAAAAATGAAGCTGTAATCTTACTACATGCTTTGTCAAGGAACGATGCCAGTAAACACGACACATGCAATACGAAAAACACACTTGCAGAGTCAATTTTCCCTCTGCTGGTTTACACATGTAAAAGTTGTATATACTTTTTTCTTCTATCCAAAATTTATTACATATGCTTAGCTTTCCAACAATACAAATCACAATTCTCACAAAAAATCTTGGAATGTCGTCAATTTCACATTTCACGTCAAAGACGTCGATTTCACTTTGCATCTTACATGTAAAGTCACTGCGTATTTCACAAGAGTCTACATAGTCCATAAGTGTAAAGAAACCTAGGCAAACATGTACAAGCATGAGCAAGAAGTATCCAAATCTAATAAGTAAAAACACAGACTTGTGAGGTGGAAAGCATCCGCCCGATTTAAACACACCATTGAAAGCTTGTCAGTTTCTGTGATACCAGAACTCCCTCTGCATTGAACCACCAGTAACATAAAAATGAAGACAAATCAGATCAAAAGCACTAAACTGGGGATTTATTTAAGCCACCAGTTCAATTCTGAGAGCAATTTATAATTAAAAATAAACCTCCTCTTCCACTAACTGCATCCATTGCAATTTTACTGCAAAATGTACCTTCCAACTTGGTGACCTACTCCGGCTGATCTCGGCAACAAACACATTTTCTTTGCATCAGTATGGTTGCACATCTCTCACAAGTACACCACAGAGCATTTTCCAACCATTCATTCAATTCAACTTGATTATTATCTCCCGCGGAATCACTAGCACGTTCTGGCTTCAAGAGCAGCCATACTAAAGCTCAAAAGAACAAACACACTCTCNACTTCAGAAGCTAAAACAACAGTGAGTAACTCAACTCAATGTGAACTTTTCATTGGTGATGGAAAAAAATACATGGTTTTTGCAGTGACCTTCTCCTTTAAAGTTAGTTTTAGTATGAAGTAATATAGCTGAGCATTTCATGCTGAAATGTTAAGAAAAAATGTATGTATCTTTGAACTACATGTACAACCATTATCATGTCAATTCATGTAAATGTAAATGTAAATGCAAATTTAATGTCAAACACAGGAAGTGCTTGCACAATCACCCGAGCCAGAGGCTCATGATAAAGTGCCTGACAATAATCCAGATCAAATTGGAATTTAGAAATGGTTGGTTTTTGAGGAGAGAGGAAAACCAGAGTACCCAGGGAAAAACCTCTTGGAGCAAGGAAGAGAACCAACAACAAACTCAACCCACATATGACGCCGGGTCCGGGAATTGAACCCAGGACACATTGGTGGGAGGCGAGCACTCTCACCACTGCTTCCCTGTTCATTGTCTGTTGGGAACCATTTGTTTTATTTATGGTCTGTCAGCTGAGGTACCTTTCTACTGTTTCTCTGTACTACCGTCGCTTGCATCTAAACGTGAACGTGTGACACCAAAACATGCTCTAATTGGGTGTCAAACATGGCATGATTAGTCATCAAACATTTGAAGTTGAGCAGACTGTGGTGCGAACTTTCGTGCTCAAAGTTAAGCACACAAAATGGAAGAAAGAGTGGACATTGAAGACTTCTTCAGAGAAATTGGCCCTGACTTATGTCAATATGCATAAGCCTTTAGCAAAAGTGGTTTTACTTCTAGTATAACCATGAAATATTGGCGCTAGCAAGAGTTTCAGAGTCTTTCAGAGCACAAAAGTTTGCATTATGGTCTGCTAAACCAATTAGAAGATGTTTCGGCGTCTGGTGTTACACTTAGATGCAAGCAATGGTACATGTATGTTTACTTGGATGCACTTCCAGAACATGCTCTTGTTGATTTTTTTGTTGTTTTCGTGTTATTTTCAGGGAAGGAGCCCATGATGTTCTGACAAGCTTGGGGGCATATCCTGGAATTGTTAACGCAATTCAAACTGGTTTACTTAATGTGGTAACCACCCTTAGTGACTGTACTGTAACAAAATAATAGTCATTGTTCCAGGGCCATATCAGAAGTGTTACATGTATATATAGATATATTTGTATCAAATAGTGTCACTATTTTGATAGATCTTGCAATGACAGGGGTTGTCAAAAGTAAGTGGCAGCTGGCAAAAACCACCATTACCTCATGTTCTTGGCTGGCTTCTCTGCTGTGCCATTTATCTTATTCTTTAAAAAAAGATGGTAAAATCAGCTGCCTCCTTCAAACCTTTGCAACAGCCCTGATGATAATTTATAAAATTTCTACTAGTAATTAGATCAGCAACTTTTAATGCTTGGAAGTACATGCAATCCTTCTAGAAATTGCTTTGTCTTGTGCAAAAGCTGGATATCTTGTTTACGTACGCCAGGTTTTCTCCTTTTTTATTATTTTTGCTCAGGGAATGAGGATGGAACTGGGTGGGGCCATGGCAAGGTTCTGGCAGGATATTAGAATGTACTTTAATTTGACTGAAGAAAATCGATGGTGTAACATATTTGAGAAAAAACAGATGTCAACTTTGTCCAAGGATGTTTACCTAAAGCCATTGGTATTTAAATGATGTTGGTTGCTAGGTAACCAAAGATAAACATAAATTATTGTACATTTATAGTCTTGATTGGATATTATTGTTTACAGTGGTTGCTATGGCAACCACACAATGTTCAGAGTGACAAAAAGAGATAATTTGCTCTGAGATCATCAACTTGAAGGTTTTTTTTTAGAAAGGGAGGGTGCTAAATATTGATAAGTGGATTTATAAAAAACTAAGGTACACTTATTTGATTTTATTGTTAAGAAGAAACTTGCCATGTCCGCTTGAAAGTACCGCTCCTCACAAAAGTAAGTTCTTCAAAACATCCCTACCCTGCCCCTCCAAAAGAAAAAAAACAAAAACAAAAACAAAAACTCAAACACAAAAGTGCTTTTACTATACACCCCTCTAGAAATTGGACTTACAGTTTATATTCAGCTATTTGAACTCCTGGGTGTGAAGATCAATACTCTAAATACTTCTTCCAATAATTATAGTTTATTTTTGGCATTTTATATCATTGCAGTGTGTAAATTAACAGCTCTCTATGACATTAATGCACACTGATGACATTCACACAGTATAACTTGGCATGTGTTTATGAATGTTTGGAGAGATTTCATTAAGATGCTGAATTTTCATTTCCATGTACCTAAACGATTTTCAGGCACATTTAAGTGCCTGAATTATTGTAATAAGGCTAAAAGATTTTCAGACACATGAAAATTATGCTCATAATATAGTTATCATTGTCTTGCAATCATGAAGACCCTTTCAAAAACAAGCCGAACAAAGTCTCAAACACAGACAATGCCACCCATAAGTAACCCACCAAAACAGCCTTTTGAACAAAAAAGTGGGCTTTTTAAGAGACTTTACATTACATCATAAATAACTATATGATTCGATTTTAGAAAAAAAATTATGCAATATTCTTGTATCCTATATTTTATTCTCATTAACAAAATAACATACTCATGCAGTATTTGAAGCACTTTAACTATTGTAAAGTTAATTATTAGATGTTTATTATGAACAGTAAGGTGCATTGTAGAGTATGTATTTGTTGATTTTCACTAGCAATTGCAAGGTTGAAGTTTTAATAATTATTATGAACTTATATTGTTTCTTCTTGTTTGAAATTTGTCACCATACAGGTGTAACATGCTGACTTGATCAGCCAGGGATTGTCAACCTTAAACATGCTTTCTGAAAATCTAAATATTTCAACATTAATAATACAGCAAATATGATTTTCTGTCAGGTGATCACTACATGGTTGCCTGTCCGTGTAGTTGTAATAGGTACAGTCCATAGCCACACAATTTTGGAAGTTATTTTATTTGCATTTACTTTTAATTTAGTTAAGGTCAATAAGACAAATATATAGCTTATGTGTGGTACAAATCACTGTACCCCATTTTCACAGCTTCATTTGTGGTGTATTTTAATTTGGTGAACCTGCAGGGCAGGCCAAAATGCAATAATTTTAACCTTTAAAGAGAAATCGCATGTGAGAAGTATGCGCACAATTGTAATGAAGTAAAGAACATTTGTAACAAACTTGACAATTTTACTTTTCTATATTGTAAGTACTCAATAAGTAGAATGATCAATAAAAATATATTGATTTTGTTTCAGTGACCTGGAATAAAGATTACTGACTCCTTAGTGATGTTGGTGAATTTTGCAAAGAAACGGTTGAAGTATGGAAGTAAGATTAGCATTGTCACGGCATATACAACTTTTATGAATTGCAGTGAAACTGACAGAAATTGTCTAACAAGTTAGGACTTCATTGACTGGAGACTTATTAGAGACAATGATTTCTCTTCAGCTGAATTATGTAAACCATCCTCATCTTTTTTGTGGTTAAAATCTGGAATAAAGACATCTCATCATCTGTGTACCCACTGAGCTAGTAAAGTGGTTTTAATTCACTTTTGTGATATTTAAATGAGTTGAGCTTGCCTTTCTCATCTCTTGGCACAAAGACATGTATAGCTTCTTTAAGAAACATACAACATATCTCAAATATTTTTACTTTTAAGCCAAAATTGTGGAGGTCAGATATCGAGAGTGTAGACATCTACCCCTCTGTCCATTTCGAGCTCTGTAGATTTTTCAGATGCTTCAAATTTTACACTGCTAAAACTGCTAGACGGGTATATTTTTGACCTAATCTACTTAGTCACATTCCTTTTGTTGTCATTCCCAAGAATACTGTTATTTCTGTTGTCATGGGTACAACTTCATCTATCCCCCTCCCCTGCTCCAGCCAAATGAGAGAGGTGGAAACAAACAATACAAACAAAAAATAAAGTATAAATTGAAATAATCAAGCATAGCTTGCATGATTTCATGGTCGTGTGATATTTTTCTTGTCATCTGGAAAGATTTGATGTGGGCAAAGGTTAAAAATCACAGACAGATTTAGGTTAAGCTGGTAACACTTTTGATATCAAATTTATTTGGTTTCAAACTGCAATAAAAGTCTATTATTGTTCCTTCCAATGTGATTGCATTAAATTTTTTACAATGTATACTGCCATCTGAGCACAGTGTCTTATGTAAACAAGAAATAATATCAAAATAAATTACAATATTTAGAGACGAAGCCACATCAGCCTTATCTGGCCTCCATGTGGGTTCTCTAAATGTATTCAAAGAACATGTGGTTGGCATCCAGTCAAATTATTTTGGATTAGTGGGTGAGAGGTTGTTGAGGAGCATGATTTGTCTAGCTGTAGAGGTTAATCCTGGATTTGAAATCTCTGCTACAGCCCTGGCATGCAAAAACAGATGTCTGCCTTGGATCTGGGTGGTCCTTCTGATGACTAGGAAGTTTCCTGCCTCTACTTTCATTATTTTTATCTTGGATGGGAGCACTACTGTCCCCCCCCTTTCCCACCTCCCCTCCCCACCCCACTCTTTTCAGTCCTTGTGATACTTTTCATCTTTATTTAATTTGTTTCAAACCACAATAAAAAGTCTATCTTTGTATATTTCTTTCAATGGTATTTAAATTTATCTCTTTTATTTTATATATTATTGTATATCTGCTATTTGTAAGAAATAAATAATATTCAAAGAATACATTTAACCTTTTGATATAATATAAATCATAGTTTGAGAAAGCTTTTAATGGCAAAAGCTTTTGCTTTTTGTATAAGCTGTGCCTACACAGCAGCATAGGAACCATTCAAATTGAATTTATTTTTCCAGCTGCCCTTTTTTTATCAGAAGGCCAAGTATAGAATGAAACAATGCAAGTTATCCCATGTCCAGGAATAATTCAAATTATCTGAGAAAGCTATACATATTAATCACCCTCCATTAGTGAAATATTTTTCTAAACAATATCACTACAAAAATGCATTAATTTCTAAATCAATGTTTTACTACCAAAATTGAATTAAATCCCCTACCCTCCAGGAAATATCTAGTCTAATACCATAACCCTAATAAAAAATGTTAATCTTCTTATCACATTTTGGTATGTTGAGGATTTCCTATTTCAAATATAATATGTTCAATGTGAAGGATAATGAGATGGATAATATTATACCAAGAAACTTGCTCTTGAACAACCCATAATGGAGTATCAATATTTATCCATATTAATTTTAATCATTTGAATGTGTGAATATGCATACAAAGAGCCAGAAATCTTATCAAGGGTCACGGAATGCTATATTTGGTAATTCCATTTGTAAAATTTAAATTAGGTCTTCAGATCCACAAAGATGGTTTGATTTTATCAGTGACAGAATAAACACAGGATGATTAAAGACTAGAAACTTGCTCTCAGATGCAAATTTTTTTAAAGCCCAACATGTGTTTGAGAATAAGCCTGTTTCTTGTCCTTTATGTAGCATTCCTATCATTTTTCTAGATCACTAGAAACTATGTTTTATCCATAGGACTAAGCCTATAATCATAATCCAGTTGGTATCAGGATATGTAATCTACTGGATAATTAGAATGACCTAGACCAATTAAGCTGCATGGCAATCCTTCATGGCTAAGCTAATGACTGATAATTTCCAGGACAAATCAGTACTTCTAATTGATAAGACATTAATTTTCAATTTAACAATTAACATGATAGGACTAAACCAGTTTTTTAAAAATATTTTACAAGTAATTCTCAAATTCTCAGTCAAAAATGGCCTCTAGGTTTGTGTCTTTGTAATTTCCTTTTTCTTGGAAGCCTGAAGTTGCTCAATCCAGTTAGTCTCTTTTTCATCAAAAATTTTCTCACCAAATGCTAAGAGACCAAGTTGTGGTTGTGATGCCTCTGACTTCACTTTGCTTTTAATGCAGGATAAAAACTGTGCCTGAGTTAAATTGCGACTACAGAACTTAGGATGCCATGTGTGGAAGATACCTCTGTCAGCTGCTCGTATAACCACCAAGTTGCTGGCAAGGTAGCTGCGGTATAACTTCACGTCTTCCATTCCCCAACCCTTGATCGACAGATCAAAGCCACCAATATTAATAAAGTCATTCTTGTACTGACAAGTCATTCCATATCCAAAGTCCCTCCAATAACCAGTCTCACGATTAATGCGGTGCTGATTTTGGGTGGGAGGGGGTGACCCCCCATAAACAATCATAGGGTTATACAGACTAAACACTACCGGGTAGTACACTTTTACCCCTGGGGTGGAGTAGAATCTACAGCGTTCTAAAAATCCCGCTGTGAAGAAAACATCCACATCACAAAAGAACATGAGGACATTACCTTTCTCCCAGGCAACAGCCCCTTGTTGGAGACCATAGCCTCGGGAGAATGGTTTATCAGTAAATACCAGTTTATAATCTGAGAAGTTCTCCGCTTTGGAGACGTTTTTCATAAGGGTTTCCAGCTCTTCCTTTCCTTCTTGGCCGAAAAATACAACTGTAAGGAAAACTGACTGGTCCCATCTGATGCAAACATCGACAAAATTATCCAGGAAAAGTTTAAACTTATCCAGCCGTCCTGACAGGGGCAAAATTAAATTGATGAGTTCGTTATTGGTGTCGATTGTCTCTATACTACCTGCAAGGCGCAGGGGACCAAACGGTCTCTCAATTTTGACACGATGAAACACTTTGCTGTTTGCTGATTTGAAGTAGAAATCGTACTGTGAGCCTACAAGTCGATCGATCCGCATTATCCCATCTACAAGATCCCTTGCTGTCGTCTCCATATCTTTGCCCTCGTAGTTGTAAAGCGCTTCAACAGCAAAATTCATCACTTCAAAGTAATCCTTGCCCTTAAAGCCGTAGGGCCTTTCAGCTGGATTACCCGATAGACCGTGATCAATTTGATAAACCGCATTGAAAGCCACTCCATCAAACGGAACCACCTCAAATTCTGTTCTCACAGGTTGACCCTTTAGAAATTCTCCTCTCGCTACTTGGCTTTTTTCTTTGCTAAGTTGTTGAGCGATTGTGATTTTTTCCGCCTTTTTGAGCCGTGCTAACTCCTTTGAGATTTCCTCGTTACGGGTTGCTTGTTCACGTATGGCATTGCTCAAAGCGCCATTCTCGCGTCTGAGATTTTTAACATCGAGCTTGAGGAGTCGAATTTTCTCCGTCAACAGCAACAGTTTTTCCAGAGGATCTTCGGTCGCCTTTTCACGATTTTTCACGTTAGTGTCTTCATCTACCAACCCTCTACATCTCGTAAGGGTAAACAATAAAATCTGTCCAATTAAAATGAAAAGAACCAATGCAAAAGTCGCCCGGAAGACGAACACAGTCGAAATCCTTGGCATGGCATATTCAGTTTGCTTGTCGTCGTTCCATCCAGTTCTGATTTCCACTGCTTCACGAGTACATTTGATAGAGTGAGTATAAATTATATATTGAAGTCTTCTCGTACGAGCGATTGAAAACGAACGTTTGAATGACCAGCTACAGCAAATATTACGCGTGAGTAAATCAGCTGTGTTTAATATTGCCACGCGTTTACTTCTGTTACGCACTCTCAGTGTGACATAAAAAGTAACGCATTCTTAAGCAGGTAATTATAAGCTTTTAGTTAATTTTCCCTCTGATTTCACTTTTGGATTCCAAAAGAAAATCACCAAGCGACAACGGGGTTCAATACATTAAATCCTTGGTTACGCTCGTGGTATGACGTGTAACGCACCGTAAATAGTTAAAAAAAACACTTGTTCAAATCATCCTATATGTTCAAATTCAAATGCAAATTTTCTTGTTTGGAAATTGCTTTTGTGTCAGCCTCAATTTTGAAAAAGTCAATGCCAATTTTATCTCTGATTCTCTTCTTAACTTCTAACAAAACTGGCCATGAAAATGAAGCCATTGTCGGCTTTTTTTAAAAGTAAAATTGATTTGGAAATCCCATATTGGAGGTTTATGGTTATGTAATCCAATTTTGTTTTTCTTGCTAACAACTCCTATCCCACTCATGTAGGTTGACAGTCGACCGACGAAGTAGCGTACAGCGGATGAACCATGGACGTCTGAAATTTCACCCGGGCTAGTTGTTGAGCTGTTTGAAAAGTTTTGCACCGTGAAAAATAAAATAAAACGAATTTAATTTTGGTTTCCAAGGACGCACTCGCAACACAAGGGAATTCATAAACGTGGTACTTGAACACTGTGTCACTTGGGAACGATATCTGGCTGTAAATAATGAGACAAGTCACTAGTGGATTTTTTGGCTTTTCAGTCGCATGGACTGTATTGACAAAGGTGAAAAAACTGAGAATTGCGATTGGGCTCGATAAGGATTTCTCTTTCACCGAAAAGAATAACTTGATCAGACATTTTAGTCCAATATAGTGGTATAGAGAAACAATAAAAACAACAGGGACAATGACTATAGAAAGCTTTAAGCTGCGTTTTTTTTCTTGTGAAAAATATAATCAGGATATAGAAAATTTCAGTTGTTCGTATGGTATGTGATCATCCCCGCCATCAATCAAGGAAATTTTGCCATCAATTTTTTTAAATAGTAAACCACGCGCTCGCTATTATATTGGTTTTTACGGCATTTCCGAAACAACACGTCGCCACAAATTTTGTATCGAATTTTGAGTCGAATTTTGTATCCCCAAAACAAATCACTCAGTAAATGTCCGAATGCATATCAATGAATGTTTATTAGAGTCCTATTAATAGCAAATTTGCACGTTGTCGTCATTTGACTACAACTACCAGCATTCCTTTCGTTTTTTCTTTAGCCCTAATTAGCATAAGAAACAGAAAAACTGAAGGATTCCGGTTGTTGTAGTCAAATGATTCTATCATGCAAATCGCCTATTATATATTAGGATCTTCCCTCTGCGTGATGCTCCTGGAAGCCGCGATCCTTCTGGTCAGTACCAACAAACAATTTAAAACCTCTGTGCACCCGTTCCACACGTTGTAACGCATTAACTAATGGACGTTGTATGACAGTAAATTAATGCATTGTAAATGTAAAATCTTAAACCTGTGGAGGCAGTGTTGTGTCGTAGTACACTTGTAGCACCAGTTGTTGTTTTGGGGCTAGGAGCATTGTTTCTGTTGTTTGCTCTGTTCTCCTATCAAAGGGTATCGTGTCATTCATTTCAGACCTTGCAAGAGCTGCTTGCTGACCTGCTATCCCAACCAAACAGAGTGCGAACAAAGATGGATTTCCTGCTTTTGCTTCAAACAGAAACCGGAAATCCGTCTGTGTTCGCAGGCTGGCTTGCATATACATCTGCTAATTAAAAATTAGATTATGAGCTCGAGATTTCTATGAGGGGTAGTTGATGAGGCCCAATCAACTATCGCCTCATAGAAATCGAGAGCGAATAATCTAATTGTTTTAGTAGAATTCTCATTGAAATTTCCTTCAAATGGCGATTCCAATTATTTCTGGTCTTAGTAAAAGAGGATTCTCGCAGACTGAATTAAATGAATGTAAATTTGACATTTGTAGTTGTGTACGCGCGTTTATCAATTTCTTTCAAGAATTTCGAGCTTTTTATTTCGAGAAACCGTAAATGCCCTCCTTTTAGTCTTCCTAGGAGTTTTCTCTATTCATTTGCTTCTAAATGTTCTTTTAAAACTACGGAGAAACGAGGAAACGTTGCAATTTTGTCGACCACACCACACTGCACACTAATGTGAAGAAACTACCCGGGTGGATAGTACAGTAGTCGTTTTGAAAATCTTTTTGTAAACAAGCGGGTTCATAGACAATAAACAATTGCAATTGTATTAGGTGGGTTAATGCCCGTTTTCCTTTTTTAAATTTTACATTTGACTTTAATGGCTTTCATCTAAAAAAGTTGAAAATAATTCAATATGATTTTTGAACTGGCGCGCAGAGAGAAAATTTAGTGGTGAACAATAAAGGCAATAGAGTGATTATGTCTCGGAACTATCAGTCTGATAGTTGTCCCTTGGAAACGTGATGTTCTTAAAACTAGCACATTTGCCCTCGAAGCTTCGCTCCTCGGGCAAATATTTTTTAACATCAAATATCCGCGGGGCAACTATCAGCCGATAGTTCCTCGAGTTTTCCTCGACAGGAACACTCTATTGTTCAGATAGTGTGCAATGACTCAGCCAATCAGATTACAGCATTTGCATTAGCATACTAGTAGAATTCTGTAGTTCGTATAGTGTGATCGTCCGGGTGAGTGTAGTTCTGAAAAGAACTGTTGTTGGTGACTACACTCACATATTATTGTTTACAGTGGTTGCTATGGCAACCACACAATGTTCAGAGTGACAAAAAGAGATAATTTGCTCTGAGATCATCAACTTGAAGGTTTTTTTTTAGAAAGGGAGGGTGCTAAATATTGATAAGTGGATTTATAAAAAACTAAGGTACACTTATTTGATTTTATTGTTAAGAAGAAACTTGCCATGTCCGCTTGAAAGTACCGCTCCTCACAAAAGTAAGTTCTTCAAAACATCCCTACCCTGCCCCTCCAAAAGAAAAAAAACAAAAACAAAAACAAAAACTCAAACACAAAAGTGCTTTTACTATACACCCCTCTAGAAATTGGACTTACAGTTTATATTCAGCTATTTGAACTCCTGGGTGTGAAGATCAATACTCTAAATACTTCTTCCAATAATTATAGTTTATTTTTGGCATTTTATATCATTGCAGTGTGTAAATTAACAGCTCTCTATGACATTAATGCACACTGATGACATTCACACAGTATAACTTGGCATGTGTTTATGAATGTTTGGAGAGATTTCATTAAGATGCTGAATTTTCATTTCCATGTACCTAAACGATTTTCAGGCACATTTAAGTGCCTGAATTATTGTAATAAGGCTAAAAGATTTTCAGACACATGAAAATTATGCTCATAATATAGTTATCATTGTCTTGCAATCATGAAGACCCTTTCAAAAACAAGCCGAACAAAGTCTCAAACACAGACAATGCCACCCATAAGTAACCCACCAAAACAGCCTTTTGAACAAAAAAGTGGGCTTTTTAAGAGACTTTACATTACATCATAAATAACTATATGATTCGATTTTAGAAAAAAAATTATGCAATATTCTTGTATCCTATATTTTATTCTCATTAACAAAATAACATACTCATGCAGTATTTGAAGCACTTTAACTATTGTAAAGTTAATTATTAGATGTTTATTATGAACAGTAAGGTGCATTGTAGAGTATGTATTTGTTGATTTTCACTAGCAATTGCAAGGTTGAAGTTTTAATAATTATTATGAACTTATATTGTTTCTTCTTGTTTGAAATTTGTCACCATACAGGTGTAACATGCTGACTTGATCAGCCAGGGATTGTCAACCTTAAACATGCTTTCTGAAAATCTAAATATTTCAACATTAATAATACAGCAAATATGATTTTCTGTCAGGTGATCACTACATGGTTGCCTGTCCGTGTAGTTGTAATAGGTACAGTCCATAGCCACACAATTTTGGAAGTTATTTTATTTGCATTTACTTTTAATTTAGTTAAGGTCAATAAGACAAATATATAGCTTATGTGTGGTACAAATCACTGTACCCCATTTTCACAGCTTCATTTGTGGTGTATTTTAATTTGGTGAACCTGCAGGGCAGGCCAAAATGCAATAATTTTAACCTTTAAAGAGAAATCGCATGTGAGAAGTATGCGCACAATTGTAATGAAGTAAAGAACATTTGTAACAAACTTGACAATTTTACTTTTCTATATTGTAAGTACTCAATAAGTAGAATGATCAATAAAAATATATTGATTTTGTTTCAGTGACCTGGAATAAAGATTACTGACTCCTTAGTGATGTTGGTGAATTTTGCAAAGAAACGGTTGAAGTATGGAAGTAAGATTAGCATTGTCACGGCATATACAACTTTTATGAATTGCAGTGAAACTGACAGAAATTGTCTAACAAGTTAGGACTTCATTGACTGGAGACTTATTAGAGACAATGATTTCTCTTCAGCTGAATTATGTAAACCATCCTCATCTTTTTTGTGGTTAAAATCTGGAATAAAGACATCTCATCATCTGTGTACCCACTGAGCTAGTAAAGTGGTTTTAATTCACTTTTGTGATATTTAAATGAGTTGAGCTTGCCTTTCTCATCTCTTGGCACAAAGACATGTATAGCTTCTTTAAGAAACATACAACATATCTCAAATATTTTTACTTTTAAGCCAAAATTGTGGAGGTCAGATATCGAGAGTGTAGACATCTACCCCTCTGTCCATTTCGAGCTCTGTAGATTTTTCAGATGCTTCAAATTTTACACTGCTAAAACTGCTAGACGGGTATATTTTTGACCTAATCTACTTAGTCACATTCCTTTTGTTGTCATTCCCAAGAATACTGTTATTTCTGTTGTCATGGGTACAACTTCATCTATCCCCCTCCCCTGCTCCAGCCAAATGAGAGAGGTGGAAACAAACAATACAAACAAAAAATAAAGTATAAATTGAAATAATCAAGCATAGCTTGCATGATTTCATGGTCGTGTGATATTTTTCTTGTCATCTGGAAAGATTTGATGTGGGCAAAGGTTAAAAATCACAGACAGATTTAGGTTAAGCTGGTAACACTTTTGATATCAAATTTATTTGGTTTCAAACTGCAATAAAAGTCTATTATTGTTCCTTCCAATGTGATTGCATTAAATTTTTTACAATGTATACTGCCATCTGAGCACAGTGTCTTATGTAAACAAGAAATAATATCAAAATAAATTACAATATTTAGAGACGAAGCCACATCAGCCTTATCTGGCCTCCATGTGGGTTCTCTAAATGTATTCAAAGAACATGTGGTTGGCATCCAGTCAAATTATTTTGGATTAGTGGGTGAGAGGTTGTTGAGGAGCATGATTTGTCTAGCTGTAGAGGTTAATCCTGGATTTGAAATCTCTGCTACAGCCCTGGCATGCAAAAACAGATGTCTGCCTTGGATCTGGGTGGTCCTTCTGATGACTAGGAAGTTTCCTGCCTCTACTTTCATTATTTTTATCTTGGATGGGAGCACTACTGTCCCCCCCCTTTCCCACCTCCCCTCCCCACCCCACTCTTTTCAGTCCTTGTGATACTTTTCATCTTTATTTAATTTGTTTCAAACCACAATAAAAAGTCTATCTTTGTATATTTCTTTCAATGGTATTTAAATTTATCTCTTTTATTTTATATATTATTGTATATCTGCTATTTGTAAGAAATAAATAATATTCAAAGAATACATTTAACCTTTTGATATAATATAAATCATAGTTTGAGAAAGCTTTTAATGGCAAAAGCTTTTGCTTTTTGTATAAGCTGTGCCTACACAGCAGCATAGGAACCATTCAAATTGAATTTATTTTTCCAGCTGCCCTTTTTTTATCAGAAGGCCAAGTATAGAATGAAACAATGCAAGTTATCCCATGTCCAGGAATAATTCAAATTATCTGAGAAAGCTATACATATTAATCACCCTCCATTAGTGAAATATTTTTCTAAACAATATCACTACAAAAATGCATTAATTTCTAAATCAATGTTTTACTACCAAAATTGAATTAAATCCCCTACCCTCCAGGAAATATCTAGTCTAATACCATAACCCTAATAAAAAATGTTAATCTTCTTATCACATTTTGGTATGTTGAGGATTTCCTATTTCAAATATAATATGTTCAATGTGAAGGATAATGAGATGGATAATATTATACCAAGAAACTTGCTCTTGAACAACCCATAATGGAGTATCAATATTTATCCATATTAATTTTAATCATTTGAATGTGTGAATATGCATACAAAGAGCCAGAAATCTTATCAAGGGTCACGGAATGCTATATTTGGTAATTCCATTTGTAAAATTTAAATTAGGTCTTCAGATCCACAAAGATGGTTTGATTTTATCAGTGACAGAATAAACACAGGATGATTAAAGACTAGAAACTTGCTCTCAGATGCAAATTTTTTTAAAGCCCAACATGTGTTTGAGAATAAGCCTGTTTCTTGTCCTTTATGTAGCATTCCTATCATTTTTCTAGATCACTAGAAACTATGTTTTATCCATAGGACTAAGCCTATAATCATAATCCAGTTGGTATCAGGATATGTAATCTACTGGATAATTAGAATGACCTAGACCAATTAAGCTGCATGGCAATCCTTCATGGCTAAGCTAATGACTGATAATTTCCAGGACAAATCAGTACTTCTAATTGATAAGACATTAATTTTCAATTTAACAATTAACATGATAGGACTAAACCAGTTTTTTAAAAATATTTTACAAGTAATTCTCAAATTCTCAGTCAAAAATGGCCTCTAGGTTTGTGTCTTTGTAATTTCCTTTTTCTTGGAAGCCTGAAGTTGCTCAATCCAGTTAGTCTCTTTTTCATCAAAAATTTTCTCACCAAATGCTAAGAGACCAAGTTGTGGTTGTGATGCCTCTGACTTCACTTTGCTTTTAATGCAGGATAAAAACTGTGCCTGAGTTAAATTGCGACTACAGAACTTAGGATGCCATGTGTGGAAGATACCTCTGTCAGCTGCTCGTATAACCACCAAGTTGCTGGCAAGGTAGCTGCGGTATAACTTCACGTCTTCCATTCCCCAACCCTTGATCGACAGATCAAAGCCACCAATATTAATAAAGTCATTCTTGTACTGACAAGTCATTCCATATCCAAAGTCCCTCCAATAACCAGTCTCACGATTAATGCGGTGCTGATTTTGGGTGGGAGGGGGTGACCCCCCATAAACAATCATAGGGTTATACAGACTAAACACTACCGGGTAGTACACTTTTACCCCTGGGGTGGAGTAGAATCTACAGCGTTCTAAAAATCCCGCTGTGAAGAAAACATCCACATCACAAAAGAACATGAGGACATTACCTTTCTCCCAGGCAACAGCCCCTTGTTGGAGACCATAGCCTCGGGAGAATGGTTTATCAGTAAATACCAGTTTATAATCTGAGAAGTTCTCCGCTTTGGAGACGTTTTTCATAAGGGTTTCCAGCTCTTCCTTTCCTTCTTGGCCGAAAAATACAACTGTAAGGAAAACTGACTGGTCCCATCTGATGCAAACATCGACAAAATTATCCAGGAAAAGTTTAAACTTATCCAGCCGTCCTGACAGGGGCAAAATTAAATTGATGAGTTCGTTATTGGTGTCGATTGTCTCTATACTACCTGCAAGGCGCAGGGGACCAAACGGTCTCTCAATTTTGACACGATGAAACACTTTGCTGTTTGCTGATTTGAAGTAGAAATCGTACTGTGAGCCTACAAGTCGATCGATCCGCATTATCCCATCTACAAGATCCCTTGCTGTCGTCTCCATATCTTTGCCCTCGTAGTTGTAAAGCGCTTCAACAGCAAAATTCATCACTTCAAAGTAATCCTTGCCCTTAAAGCCGTAGGGCCTTTCAGCTGGATTACCCGATAGACCGTGATCAATTTGATAAACCGCATTGAAAGCCACTCCATCAAACGGAACCACCTCAAATTCTGTTCTCACAGGTTGACCCTTTAGAAATTCTCCTCTCGCTACTTGGCTTTTTTCTTTGCTAAGTTGTTGAGCGATTGTGATTTTTTCCGCCTTTTTGAGCCGTGCTAACTCCTTTGAGATTTCCTCGTTACGGGTTGCTTGTTCACGTATGGCATTGCTCAAAGCGCCATTCTCGCGTCTGAGATTTTTAACATCGAGCTTGAGGAGTCGAATTTTCTCCGTCAACAGCAACAGTTTTTCCAGAGGATCTTCGGTCGCCTTTTCACGATTTTTCACGTTAGTGTCTTCATCTACCAACCCTCTACATCTCGTAAGGGTAAACAATAAAATCTGTCCAATTAAAATGAAAAGAACCAATGCAAAAGTCGCCCGGAAGACGAACACAGTCGAAATCCTTGGCATGGCATATTCAGTTTGCTTGTCGTCGTTCCATCCAGTTCTGATTTCCACTGCTTCACGAGTACATTTGATAGAGTGAGTATAAATTATATATTGAAGTCTTCTCGTACGAGCGATTGAAAACGAACGTTTGAATGACCAGCTACAGCAAATATTACGCGTGAGTAAATCAGCTGTGTTTAATATTGCCACGCGTTTACTTCTGTTACGCACTCTCAGTGTGACATAAAAAGTAACGCATTCTTAAGCAGGTAATTATAAGCTTTTAGTTAATTTTCCCTCTGATTTCACTTTTGGATTCCAAAAGAAAATCACCAAGCGACAACGGGGTTCAATACATTAAATCCTTGGTTACGCTCGTGGTATGACGTGTAACGCACCGTAAATAGTTAAAAAAAACACTTGTTCAAATCATCCTATATGTTCAAATTCAAATGCAAATTTTCTTGTTTGGAAATTGCTTTTGTGTCAGCCTCAATTTTGAAAAAGTCAATGCCAATTTTATCTCTGATTCTCTTCTTAACTTCTAACAAAACTGGCCATGAAAATGAAGCCATTGTCGGCTTTTTTTAAAAGTAAAATTGATTTGGAAATCCCATATTGGAGGTTTATGGTTATGTAATCCAATTTTGTTTTTCTTGCTAACAACTCCTATCCCACTCATGTAGGTTGACAGTCGACCGACGAAGTAGCGTACAGCGGATGAACCATGGACGTCTGAAATTTCACCCGGGCTAGTTGTTGAGCTGTTTGAAAAGTTTTGCACCGTGAAAAATAAAATAAAACGAATTTAATTTTGGTTTCCAAGGACGCACTCGCAACACAAGGGAATTCATAAACGTGGTACTTGAACACTGTGTCACTTGGGAACGATATCTGGCTGTAAATAATGAGACAAGTCACTAGTGGATTTTTTGGCTTTTCAGTCGCATGGACTGTATTGACAAAGGTGAAAAAACTGAGAATTGCGATTGGGCTCGATAAGGATTTCTCTTTCACCGAAAAGAATAACTTGATCAGACATTTTAGTCCAATATAGTGGTATAGAGAAACAATAAAAACAACAGGGACAATGACTATAGAAAGCTTTAAGCTGCGTTTTTTTTCTTGTGAAAAATATAATCAGGATATAGAAAATTTCAGTTGTTCGTATGGTATGTGATCATCCCCGCCATCAATCAAGGAAATTTTGCCATCAATTTTTTTAAATAGTAAACCACGCGCTCGCTATTATATTGGTTTTTACGGCATTTCCGAAACAACACGTCGCCACAAATTTTGTATCGAATTTTGAGTCGAATTTTGTATCCCCAAAACAAATCACTCAGTAAATGTCCGAATGCATATCAATGAATGTTTATTAGAGTCCTATTAATAGCAAATTTGCACGTTGTCGTCATTTGACTACAACTACCAGCATTCCTTTCGTTTTTTCTTTAGCCCTAATTAGCATAAGAAACAGAAAAACTGAAGGATTCCGGTAGTTGTAGTCAAATGATTCTATCATGCAAATCGCCTATTATATATTAGGATCTTCCCTCTGCGTGATGCTCCTGGAAGCCGCGATCCTTCTGGTCAGTACCAACAAACAATTTAAAACCTCTGTGCACCCGTTCCACACGTTGTAACGCATTAACTAATGGACGTTGTATGACAGTAAATTAATGCATTGTAAATGTAAAATCTTAAACCTGTGGAGGCAGTGTTGTGTCGTAGTACACTTGTAGCACCAGTTGTTGTTTTGGGGCTAGGAGCATTGTTTCTGTTGTTTGCTCTGTTCTCCTATCAAAGGGTATCGTGTCATTCATTTCAGACCTTGCAAGAGCTGCTTGCTGACCTGCTATCCCAACCAAACAGAGTGCGAACAAAGATGGATTTCCTGCTTTTGCTTCAAACAGAAACCGGAAATCCGTCTGTGTTCGCAGGCTGGCTTGCATATACATCTGCTAATTAAAAATTAGATTATGAGCTCGAGATTTCTATGAGGGGTAGTTGATGAGGCCCAATCAACTATCGCCTCATAGAAATCGAGAGCGAATAATCTAATTGTTTTAGTAGAATTCTCATTGAAATTTCCTTCAAATGGCGATTCCAATTATTTCTGGTCTTAGTAAAAGAGGATTCTCGCAGACTGAATTAAATGAATGTAAATTTGACATTTGTAGTTGTGTACGCGCGTTTATCAATTTCTTTCAAGAATTTCGAGCTTTTTATTTCGAGAAACCGTAAATGCCCTCCTTTTAGTCTTCCTAGGAGTTTTCTCTATTCATTTGCTTCTAAATGTTCTTTTAAAACTACGGAGAAACGAGGAAACGTTGCAATTTTGTCGACCACACCACACTGCACACTAATGTGAAGAAACTACCCGGGTGGATAGTACAGTAGTCGTTTTGAAAATCTTTTTGTAAACAAGCGGGTTCATAGACAATAAACAATTGCAATTGTATTAGGTGGGTTAATGCCCGTTTTCCTTTTTTAAATTTTACATTTGACTTTAATGGCTTTCATCTAAAAAAGTTGAAAATAATTCAATATGATTTTTGAACTGGCGCGCAGAGAGAAAATTTAGTGGTGAACAATAAAGGCAATAGAGTGATTATGTCTCGGAACTATCAGTCTGATAGTTGTCCCTTGGAAACGTGATGTTCTTAAAACTAGCACATTTGCCCTCGAAGCTTCGCTCCTCGGGCAAATATTTTTTAACATCAAATATCCGCGGGGCAACTATCAGCCGATAGTTCCTCGAGTTTTCCTCGACAGGAACACTCTATTGTTCAGATAGTGTGCAATGACTCAGCCAATCAGATTACAGCATTTGCATTAGCATACTAGTAGAATTCTGTAGTTCGTATAGTGTGATCGTCCGGGTGAGTGTAGTTCTGAAAAGAACTGTTGTTGGTGACTACACTCACCCGGACGATCACACTATACGAACTACCGATACTCCTGGGTTCAAACCATTTACTAGTAGAATTCTACTAATAGTTGTGATAGCTTGTGCAACACTTTTTTCAGAGGGTGTCAAAGGGGTTTTTGCGTGACACTTGATGAGGGCACCAATTCATGTGGTACGCGTGAAAAGAATTCTCTCTATAAGACGCGCCTGCAGGGAACCATGGTGGGTGTATTCATCAAAGCAAATATCCAGTCCAAGACGATGAATACAGCTACCATGATTCCCTACAGGTGCGTTCCATAGAAGGAATTGGCCATTGATTCGTGAATTACTTCTGAGAAAACCAATGCTAAAAGTATTTGTAAGTGTACGTGACGCGTGAATGTGTTAATAGGGGTGGGGGTGGGGTGAAACGGCATCACAGCCCTCCTTTTGCTACCTTCTCAAAAAACACAAAATGTAAGGCTTCTAAACTGAAACTCCAAAGACTCAAACCTTCCGAAATGTTTTCTTCTTTTTCCTTCTCGAGCATTTTCAGCGCGCGCATTTGAGTTGACAATGACGTTACAATTACTGACTGCGACTGGAAGAGCCAATCACTGATCGGCAAGAAACCTTTCAAAAAGAAACCGACACAACATGGACTCCACGCTGAAAGTCGGTGATTCGCCCGCCAAAAACCACATTTCTCAGCCAAGCACTTCTGAACACGTGTCGAATCAACCTGTGTCAGATAACATCCAGAGCGCGAGCGAAGAGCAAGATGTAAAAGTCGTGTCTACTGAGAGTGAAGTCATCCCGGTAATAAATACTGAATGTACGGAGGAAGGTCATTTTACTCAAATACCAAGTTCAACTGATAATGAAGGATTACTTGCTGAAATTAGCGAACATCATTTTGAGTCAACAAGCGAGAGCGAAGTTCCTGAAACGGTAAAAGAATTACGCTTAGATGATGAAAAGGTTTTGGGAAAAGAAAGCCCTGAAACTTGTGATAATCAATTAGCTAGCGAAGAAATCAAATTGCAACCTAATGACTGTAAAATCACAACCTGTAATGAGGAGACTGTTTCAAAGACAGAAGAACACGAAGAAATGGCAACGATTTCTCAGAAACAAACACGGCTGAAGGAGAGTAGAGCCCAGTGCTGCCAAGCGGATAAAGCAAGTACTGGCGAAGTGAGAATCTTAAAAGAGAAGCTTGCTATAAGTAAAAAAGACACGGACACCATGCAGAAGTTATTGGAAGACGTGCGAAAGGACTATGAAGAGTTGCAGAAAAATTTTGAGAAGCGCGAGAGCGACGAAAAGAATAAAGCACTAGCTAATGAATTAATGAAGGAAAACGACGAAACCAAGAAGGAAAGAGTTCAGGTTAAACGTGGGAAAAAGTTAAAAACAAGTAGCAAAGTTTCAGCCTCGGACGAGAAAAGTGAATCAGGGTCATCCGAGAAGAAAAAGACTGATGTTACTGGGATCGAAAAGGAATCTTTAACTACCAGTAAAGTTTTCTACGCCAGTGAAGTAGCATGTCCTTGTTTCGTGCAAAGTATTCGTAAAATCGTTACGGATGTCAGAGAAGATTTCAAAGACACGATTTCAGTCTTTCAACAAAGTTCTGCGGAACACTGTGCGAGTATTGGCAAGGAACTAGCCAAGCTGAAGGACGAATGCAGGCACGCTTTGGAGAAAAAGGATTCTGAAATTATTGTATTTCAGGAGGTTATTAAAAGTTTGCAGTCAAGAATGGCTGATGCTGAAAGAGAAGCTGTTGCATATAGGGCGGTTATTTCTTCATCTTTAGAGGAAACGCAGAAGTTATACGATGATATTCGTGGGTTGAAAGATCAACTCTTGAGAACAAGACAAGAAAATGAAACAAACCAAGCGGAATTAGAAAAAATAAAGCATGGTTTTAAAAGATACTGTACTGCTGAGGAATATGAAGAGCTACAGCGTTCAAATTTTAAATTTAGGGGGGGTGACTGTAGCGTGGATGGCGGTCAAGTAAATGAAATTGACGATCATGTCAGCGAGGTTAGAAATGAAGAAGCCAAATTTCATCCAGTTTTAAAAAAAGCCAAAAAGGAAATAGCAAAGCTAAAAGAAGAGAAACGCGACGCAGAAAACCGTTTGCTGGAAAAGCTTTCGGAAGGGGAAAAATTAGAGAGTAACTTGAACAAACAGCTGAGTGCGGCTTTAGTTGATATGAGACGGAAAGAGCGCGTGGTGAATGAATTAAAAGAAGAATTGATGGCGTTAAAGGTTGAAAATACCAAGCTTAACGTGAACGTTGATGGGCTGGAGAAAGAGAAGGAAAATATGCTCAAAAAGCACAGCCAAGAGTTAGAAGCGGTTAAGAACAAGTTGAAGAAATCCAATGAAAGTCTGCAGTTTCACAAAGTGAAAAACGAACAAATGCGGGAGGACTATGACGCTTTAAATGACAGTTACCTCGGACTCAAAAATTATTTGGAAGAAGAGAAAGCGAAAATGCTTGTAGGAATGACAGGAGGTGGTGAAAATTTATCTGATGACGAGGACTCAATGGGACAGCTACTGAAGGTAAGAACACCGGAAATCTGTCTTTCCGGGTTTTTGGCTGAGCCTCGAATCAATTATGTCTAGGCACGCGGACAGACAGACCTTGGAAGATTAAAAAAAAAAAAAAACGAGAACCAATTGCAAAACACTTGACTAACACGATGAACATTAAATCACTTGATACCCTTCGAGTATTAACGCCAAAACAAGAACTTTATTGGAGGTCTTAAGCAAGGACAGCAGACAAACACAGACATGACCACCGATGGACGTTTTTTCATGCATTTAGATTAATTAACGGACAAAGTCTGGAGGCAAAAGCTATACGTGTGGCCTTGAGAGCCCTTGAGTTGCAAGAGTCATACAGCGATTCTAAACAATCAATAAAACAGGAAGCTACAACCTACGCACTTCCAAAAATGTATATCAAAGTTCACACTGAACAATTACATAAGAGCCTTGGAGAAATTAGCTTACAAGCACTAATTTAATTTCAACTTTTTGCACCCAATTTTAACTTTCTGCACTGCTTGGTTTTAGGTGACGTCCTCTGAGCCGTTTCAGCATGCTGAAACGTTTGCTTGTATTTTTTAAAAGTAATCAAGTGATTTTTTACGCGCAATCTGGTACAAATAAGCACTCGTAGATCTTTCAAAGAAATGTAGCCTAGCTTAGAAAAATTTACTTGTGCTTATATATTCTAAATTGCACTCGAAATAATTTGATTACCTATACAAATGCTTGTACGTTTTCACATAACCGTGGATGGTACATACTAGGTCAATGTTTGGCGAACAAACAAATGTAGTAAACACTCAGCTATATGAAATTATTTATTAAGGCATTTAGAACCTGAAATCATTTAGAGCCTGTGAACGGGCTCTGGCTGCAAGCTTCTGATCGCGGCTGGAAGGGCCGGGAAGAAACTGGCGGAGAGTGAAGTGGCCGAGGGTGGTATGGGGTGGGGGGTCGGAGCGTCTCCTCTCTCCCTCTACTCGTTTCTTCCCTTCTTTTCTCCCATTCTCGACTAAAGAGCCTGTTCACAGGCTACTGAAATAAAGGATGGAACCTAGAGTAAGGTGTGTACTGAATTTCCTTAGAAAGTAGTCTTACCTTTTACACATAATCATATGCTTTCTCATAAGGAAGGACCACACCTACCTGGACAAGAGCACATCCACCTTTTCTACTTCACAAAACAAGGACTTATCTACGAACCTTCTTAGCCTAAGTTTTCAATAGACACCGCGTATATAAGCTTTTTGAGGTTAACTTAAGAATCTAGGTTCATATAGGTGAGTATTCATTACTGTAGTATGCATTGTAACGTTGTTTCTTATGGACTCTGCACTATCCAGGATGAATCTCAGCTACAAAGACAGCTAAAACTTGAGAAGGGGAAAAATGAATCGTGCCTCAAAGAGATTGAAAATCTTGAAAAAGAACTTAATCAATGGAAGAAAATGGTTCGGGATGACATGGACACAGGGATGGGATTCCTTCGGATCGAAAATGAAGAATTAAAAGACGAAATAGAAGAGAACCAGTAAGTTGAACCGCGTATCGATTTCTAAATTCTCCCTACCAGTCCCTATATATTTCTTTGGCCGGGCTTTAAACGTTAAATTAATTACCCTGAGTGATCTGAAAATGGTGGTAAATGTTTTACATGTTTGCAGGACTTTGCTATTTAACAAATAGATTCCATGTTGCCGTGCGTCTGTTCAGTAATAGATCACAGATGACGTCAAAATGCGGTAAGAACAAAAAAGTGGCACACGAGGCGATAACTGAGTGTGTCACTGATGTTCTTACCACATTTTGATGTCATCTGTGGTCTATTACTGAACAGACGCACGGTAACATAGAATCTAATTGATTTATATAACAAAGAAACGAAAACGCTAATGACATCATCCATGCGTCTGACGTTGCTTGTTCTCCAATTAAGAAATAGAAAACATGTACCGCGTTTCTATCGAGTTACAGAAACACGAGTGGAAGTTTGGGAGAACGAGAAATGCTGTCGGAACACGAGCCAGAGGCGAGTGTTTCCACAGCTCTTTCGAATTCTCTCAAACTTTCACGAGTTTTAACTCGATAGAAACACGGAGAACATGTTTTCTATTTCTTTCAGAAAACACCGCGATGAAAAAAGGAAAACAACTTGTTAACTTTGATTATCAAAATGTAAATTCTCTTTGCACGTGCCATCATCAACAGCTCGAGCTGGTTCTGTGTTTCTATCGAGTTATAGAAACACGATTTTCAATCAATCAGCGCGCGTACTTTTTTAGGACTGTTTTCTAATAGATTATAAACTGTAATGTGATGTAATCAATAGAGTTAGAGAAAGAAAAAAAAAAAATGAAAATTGTGAAAATAATTGGACAGTTGTCATGTAATGGTAAATGGAAAATAAAGCAAACAATACAATCATGTATATATTGGTCAATCCGTCCACGGATTCTCTACTGTTTTCTACCAGAGCAGCTAAAACACAAACTTGAAGTGTTGAAGATGACCGCGACTTTGCCTCCTTCCTCCAATTTCTTGCCTCTCATTACACACGTTATCTAATTTATACATTGTACGTTCTTTTCTGTTCTCCAGGATCCTCATGAAACAGCTTGTAGCAAAGAAGAAGTTGCACATTAGAATCATTAAAAAGTTGCGGGTGGAAAACGCTTTACTGAAGGTGCGCTAAATTAAGTCCCTCTGAGAAGTTATTTCACCTCACCAAAGAACCTGGAACACTATTATGAAAGTTTCTGTTATGGGAGAGGGGCGGGGGGACAGAGGGGGGAGGTGGGGTGTCTAGATGTCTAGGACATGCAATCTCATGAAGTTTCAAAAGTTTGACAATTTTTGTGGTAATGAAACTGAAAGTTTCGATCGAAAGGTATTTTCATGGGTGCCGGACAACCTCTCAGCCATACTGCAGTATTCCAAGATAGCACCTCTATGGCCAAGTGATTACAACATGACAACACGACGTAATGAAAATAGGTGATGTTTTCAAGCAAGTACGGTATATGGAAACCGCGGCACTCTTGAAGACGAGCTGTCCGCATTAACCAATACTTGTTCTCCCGACTCAGTGTTTTGGTGGTTGAAGAAAAAAAGGGTATGTATGTAATGGAGGAATCTCTGCTTGTAGAAAATAAGAACACTTTTATCTCCTTCCACTAGAGGTCATGTGACACAGGAACAGATGAATACGAAGATATTTCATTTGATTCTTGCGAAGAAATAGAAAGCGAAGAGCCTGGGTCCGACAGAACTTCAACTCAAGAGAATCGAGTGACATTTGACAAGAGTGGAAAAAAAGAAAAGGTAAACAAGTCAAGGCAGATTATTTACTTATTCACTTCAGTTAGTTACACCGGGGCTTTCCTGCCTGGTAAATAACTTTATATTACAGCGTATTAACTTATTGCTTGCGAATTTCTTTTTGATTTTTCTTTTTTTTCTTGGTAACTTGAAGCACAAATTCGTCAAAGAAAGGACTGAACAAAATGTTGAACCGATAATTTTTTTACTGTCAACAGTCATCTATGATTACAAGCAGTACATTTTCGTTCCAAATGTTTGCCAAGCTAGTCAGGGGCATCACAACAGACCCATATGTCTGACCAGGGATGTGGTAATTGCGTCTATTTTCCAGTGAGAGGCTGCAGCGAGAAGCGAAAAAAGCGCGAGGGGAAAAAGCCACGCAAAAAGTTTTTGCGCTCGCCTCTACTTTTTTCATTGGGCGATCTATAAGAGAAAGTTGCTAGGGATTGCTTGTAGTCTACCATAGAAACAGTACCAAGCACGAGGTGCGTGAAAATGAGGATGAATGAGGGTACTTGAACACAAGTTTAACTTTAAGAGTGGATGTCAACCCATCTGAAATGGGTGGAGATGCTCGTCGTCCGGTGATTTTAAGCTTCTATCTAAAATGATTAGGGGATTGTGTGTTGGATGGATGTTACGCTAATGATTATTTTTTTCCAGTGGCGGAATTTAAAAAGAGTTAAAACCATTCTCGTCTGTCGACCTCTGGTCTCAGTCTGTCGCTGAGGCCCCTCCGGCCAAGAGGGACTAAACAACACCAGTGACATTGACATTTTATTTCGTTTTTAAGCCTGAATGCTCTGAAAATGATGAAGACTCGTTGTTTAATGAGATCAAACATGGTGTTCATTTCTCAGATGACAACACTGATTTCCACAACGACTGGAGCCTTGAGATTCTCGAATATGACCCAAGTATCAGCGAAAAGGTATGTCGTAAAAATGTCAGAAAATACATCAACCCCACTAAATATTCTGCATCCCTTTGTTTATTGTCATTCGGCAACTCAAGACAGAAAAACGAACCTAAAACAGACATGAAGACCGCGTATTGTAAGATTACATTTACGTGAAACTACATGTGTTCATTTTAGTTATACCTTAATGATCCATTCGAAGATATGTTGTTTTCTAACCACCAGCTTGATCTGTCTCCAAGAATACCACTTGTATATGACGGGAGATTTCTACAGAAGATGGCGCACAATTAACGTGTCCACATGCAAAATAAGCTCGTTTAATCACTTATTATTTCCGAACATTTCCATCCTCCAAAATTTAGAAGAAAAACGGTAGGCATGGTCTTTTCATCGATAGGAGCCATGCGCTGTTCACGATGTTTTCGATCCAAACTCGAACTGGGGCTCACAGTCCTTTTGTCATCCAATTAACACGCCAGTTTATCGTTGCCATGTAAAACTTAAAACTTAAACTTAAACAGGTGTCTTGAGAGAGACTGGAACCTTCTCACCCAGTCTTCTAGCATTAAGATAGTGTTCAGATAGTTATTTTGTGCTATATATTTCTTTCCTAGGAATAACCCGCGAACCACGGAAAACTGCGGATGTTTTACTAATAAGTAAAAATTTCTGTTTAAATTTCTATGATGAGAGAGGAGTTTTGATGCAGTGAATAAAACAGATTCTTAAATTCAATCTGTATTTTTTGATGAACAGTGAACGGCGAGGGTGTTGTAGTTCTTTATTTAGTCAGCTGAACGCCAAGAAAATATGAGTTATTGACTAAACGTGAAGTCAAGATGGTTGTCTATTGGTCTTGTTTGTTTTACATGTTTATGGACGGAGACGTAGTCGAGGTCCATAAACACGCAACACGGGAAGCGGTGGGAAAATTCCCAGTAGGGAAGATAGCTCCATTGGAGAGCCAATCACTGCGCAGGATTTGGTTCGCGCGCTCGCCGCGGGGTTACCTATATAATAACGCGCCTTATTCATTCGCAGCCACAAAGTCTTGAGCCAGTTTGTGCAACACTTAGTCTTATTACTTTTTGATTTCTGACAGATCAGCAACAGTTTTGTAATGTTTAAAATAGTGTTAAAAATATGACCGTTAAATTGAATTCGTATCTAAAACAGGAGTCCAGTTCCTTGTATAAGTTGTATTTTTGAGTCCTAATAAGGGTAAAATTTCTTAAAAGAGAACACTTATATGCCTAAATAAACAATAACTACATAATAATGTGATTAATAAATACATATCTATTTACAGTTCAAGTTACATATAATATTCGAGTACACTGATAACTTTACCAAAACCTCAACTGAATTTCCGTCCATTTACCCATGACACTTACAGAACGCAGCAAGAAATACTAAGCTCTCGATGTTTCATTACAGTCTGTGGTATATGGTAGCTATATGTGTAAATATAAGTGTTTCCCATGACGACCGAAATTAATTATGCGTGTCCTTTTGTTAGTAGACACGTGAATCACACTTAACCATTCACGGTAAGAGTGTTCACATCTCTACCAATCAGAAACGAAACCAACACAGTCGTAATTTGCCTGGCGCGACTTTCCCGCGCTTTTCGCCGGCTATGCGTTTTTAATGCAGTGTTGACCGCTCTGTTTAATTTGCTGCCACGTTGCATACGAATATCTTTAAAACCTACTCTAATGCGGATAAAGCCTGACGAAAATCAATCAAGGTGAAGCGTGAACCCTTCTCTGTCTTTTAAGTCTATTTTGCAGGGAGTCGTTCTAAAGGTCCATTTTATTCTCAGTTTTCATTCAAGACACATGTATGGAACAATTTAAATTGGCTGATGTGTGTAAAAGCTTACTCTTTGTGGCGTCGGTACTTTACACCAAACTTGTTCTAAGATATTTCCAGTCAATGACTGACAAATCCTATGAAGCACAAACCAACAACCAAAGCAACCGAAGCAACAACCGATTTATAGCGTAATAATTCTTGTAACTACTCAGCTCGTTTAGTTTTTACTATTTTGAGTAGTTTTTTTGCTTATTTAAGTTTAATGTATTCTTGTGCTGAATGATATTCTCTGTATTATGCAAAATAAAATGGTGGTGGTTGTTGTTGTTGTTGTTGTTGTTGTTTCTCGAAAAACTCAGCTGTACACTAAAAATATTTCCGGGCAAAGAACGAGAATAGAGCATCAATTCCATATGGGTTGCTAATAGCAAACTTAGTTATACTACTGTGCCTGCAAACTCCAATAATGGGAAACTGAAGCTTATATTTTTGCATGTCTTACTTCGTGCCTCGCTATCTACAGAAAACGTCACGTTTTCACACGATACAGTGCAACTCCACTATGGCAAAACAATCACTAAATGTCGCTGAACGTTCCTTTGTATGCAGCGAAAAGCGATTTACAACGAAAAAAACAAAAACACGCTTATGAAGAGCACATTTCTCGGTCCCAAGCTAAAGGTTTGCTCCAGATTCATTTGGATGTAAGAGACATCTAATTCAGTGGAATTTTTTCTTATTTTACACACTGAACAAAGCAGGTTTCTCAGTTTAACCTTTGGAGGCCGTTTAAATAGAGAGTTAGGTAAAACTATTGTAGAACACATTATTATCGTGCAATTTTAGGTAGCTTCTTATCGCTCGCTTGCCTAAGTAAACATTGTCACTTGTATCTTTTATCACAGTGCACGCGATAACAACGTGCGAGAGTCTGGTGACTACCGTTGTAACTCCTCGCGTCGTTTGCTCAGTTTGATTGACAGTGCCAACCCAGCGGACTTTTCAATACTTTGAGCTGGGTTTTTGTTGATTACTTCAGTTGTCCTGAGCGATAAATGGAGAACCTTTCCACTTGATTCCAGTGGTCCTAAACAGCACCTCTACCATAGTAGTTCCTTGGGTTGGTATATTGGTCCTGTCCTTCAGCTGATACAATGCCGTGTTTACGTTCTCGTACCAAAACCGGTCTCCGTCGCGTAACACGCGGTACTGAAGAGCGATGATGCGAGCAAACGTTTCGCCCACAGTTCCTCCTTCGACATGGGGCTCCGCCAAACCACCGATCCACAGATCAACATCATCAATACTCGAGTAGACCTGCTCTAACTTCTCTTGTATCTTCTTGTCTGGAGTAACATCGGCAAAAGATTTACGCCTTGGCAAGCCTATTCCTTCACGGACAGTGTTATAATCTGGAATCCCGTGATCTCTTCCTCTTTGAATGTTTATAGCCACAAGATCGAGCCCCATCGTGTTTGTTCCAAAGAGGAAGTTACGCACCGAGTCAGAGAACTTCAAGTCGACTTCCTGAGCCTTCTGTACCATCATACCTCTTATCAGCGGCTCAATACCACCCTCATGGAGCACGCGTCCTGGGTTGAAGTAGGCGTCACGCAAGGATAAGTGACCGTTACCAATCATGGTCCAGTTCTCGTCCAGTCGCGGCATGATATTTCCCACTTGACTGTGACCAAACCTAAAGGCCGCTGTGCCAAACTCGTTGAAAATGCCAACCTTGATAGATGCGTTGTATCCCTGGTACTGCCCCAGTTTCTCGAACTCCTCCAGGCCGATCACTGTGGGAAGAAACTCGTTCCAGACTATCTTCTGCCATTTGGCACGAGCCAAAGCCCGTGCGTGCTGGAACAGAGTCTCGTCGTCCATATTTTCGTTTCCAGGCTGCCGAAGGAGCTCGTCACAGATCAGATTGTGCTCACGTGACCACAGGGTGTGTAAGGCAATAAGGCCCGGTTGTACGTTCACTCGGTTATCTCCAGAAACAAGCATTTTGTCTCGTGGTCCGTTGAGGAGGTTCAGGTTGGTAACTTCCTTAGTGTTGAAGTCTAGAATATCACTTGACTGGTGTTTCAGTTTCCCGTTTGTCATGGTACGTAGAGCTTTTGCTCGCCCATCATCACAGCCGTACACTAGAGACAGATCAATAAAAGCTGTAACTTTGTTGATCTGCCAAATAAACAAGAACAAGGCATTTGTAGCTTTTCATTTAAGGCCCTTAGATATCGAGTTTTTCTCATAAAAGAAAACAAACACTACACACACAGTTACTGACAAAACGACAAAACGCATTTACCCATTCAAGCTCCAACCCTCCTCCCTAAGATTGGATCTTGACGACAAAAGCAAACAAAACCCTTTAGGGATTTTTGTTACTGCTCTGAGTTTCTAGTTTTTGCCCTTTAACTGCAATTTTGTTTTGTTTCACAATGAGGCCGCATGGAAACTTTTTCAAGAATGTGGGGTCAAGTTTCACTCGCAAATTGATTCTAATTCAAATGAAATGATTCTTTTGAAACGTTTTACATTATTTAGGCATTATTCTGAAACGATGTCCAGTGCGTGGCACCGAATAACAGCTTTCTCCGACAGGGAGTTAGGAAGTTAACTTCTACAAAAATCACCTGTTCACGTGGTCGTCCATGCATTTTACCGCTGGTCTGCAGGATCCCAGATCTTCTGAATCGCATAATTTCCTTGCCTGTCCCGTGTGGGTCGAACCACGGGTCACCCTCGGGAATCGGGATACCTAAATTATCAGTGGTGAGGAAATTTGCATATGGCGTGGCGAAGTCAGTGTCATGAGCCAGCATCTGTCCAAAGTGCACGTGGAAGTCATTTAGGCCGGTCTTACTGAAAACATCAACTCGCTGGTCACATACAACATTGGAAATAAGTCGAGGGCTTGACCTGTTTGAGCCCGCAGGTGCGTCGAAGCCGTCGTCGTAAGCAGGAGGTAGCAGGCGTAGAAGCGGCATGAATGGTTTGCCGCAGTCGGGCTGAGCGGGGTTGTTGTTGACAGCGTCCAGTCGAGCAAACTTATCTGATAACTGGTCTGGTGAGGGTGCAGGGGCTTCCACTTTGTCGACCTAAAATGAGAAGATACTTTTTTGTTAGAGATTTTCAATAAGCATGGGAGCGCTGTCTTAAGACTGAATAAAAGCAAATCAACAAAGTGAAGCAAACTACTTGTTTGTGTCATCCTATAGTTTAAACAACACTGATGATGTAGTTTATTGTAGTGGTTGTGTTTCAATTTTATTTCTTACCTTGACATTGACCGTAGCAACTGCTGTGCTCACTCCATCACTTACAGCATAATTGAAACTATCTTCCCCAGAAAATTCCGCGTCAGGATAGTATGTCACGTGCTTCGGGCCTACCACCAGTTGCCCATGCTCTGGCGCCCGGATCACCTCCTTCACTACCAATCTGGTGCACTCTGGAACCGATTCACTTGGTGAAGTGGTCTCCTCAACTACATTACGATGGCCCCAGATATCACGCACTGTAACAGATGATCGGCGTCGCACGTCGTGAATAATCCGAGTGTTGTTAGTGGCTGGCCAGTAGACGCGGATTCGGAAAGTGTCAGCGGTTTCCGTACCCAGCCCAAAGTGAGCTACATATTCTCCTTGGGCTGAGAACCCGGATACGCTTCGCACCTCGCGAATGACTTCCTTCTCTAGCCGAGGAGAATACATGAAGACCCATGCGCCATAACTCTCCCTATCCACGCCAGCCTCAAGAACTTTGACGCGAATGTAATCGACGCTGTTGCCTCCAATGTTGCGATAAAGAACGGGACGATTAGCGTTGTTTGCAATGAAAACATCTAAATCGCCATCTTCCTCGTAGTCGAAGACGAACACTCCTCGTCCATCAAAAACATCAGTGACGCCCATATTGGCTCCAATTTTCTCAAACTGGATTTGCCCGTTATTGTCCTCAAAAAACGTGTTTCGGTATAGGAGCGTTGGCGTGTGGTGAAGGAAATCAGTATCAGTCACTTCTGGGTCATCAAAACCGTTTGTGTGAATGAGATCCAGGTCCCCATCGTTGTCAAAGTCAAAAAACGCTGCACCCCAGGCCCAGTTCCCGAAACGAACTCCAACCGCGTCAGTCTGGTCAGAGAATTTACGGCCTCCCTCGTTCCTGTGAAAGCGATTAAATAATGAAATAGATGAGAAACAGTGAGGCCTGTTCCAGTGGCCTTCTATTGACAGAAAGCATCATCGCCAGTATTCAAAATTTGTTACAAAACTATGTTTTCAAATCAAAGATAAAGCATTAACAAGCCCTCCGACGCCGGCTCAACTTGTGAGGTAAAACAAAAGAAATACTTTGTTGTCATGCCCCAACGACAGGTCTGCAATGATTAAAAAACAAACCTCTCTCAAGTTCCGATTACTATGATGGGAAATGGCCAGAAAACCATTGTTACAGGCGTGTTACTGGCTCAAAGGACATCCTGATTAGTACAAACAAGTTGCACGGTCAGAGAACACGTGACTTCCGATAGTCATTGCTGACGTTAAACTAGTCAAACAGGTTACGTTCCGTGGTCTTCGTTCGTTTTCTGCTACTCACCTGAAAAGCCTGTTCCCAGTGTTTCCAAATATGATTCCTCCACCAAGGTACACTTCTCTAAAAGGCTCCATCTGTTCCTTAGACATGTAAATGCTACTTACAAACCAGTCCTGCAGGCCGTCAAGATCATAGTCCCCTACTGTGGAACCCATGCCATTCTCGTCCGTTCCAACACCGCTCTCCTCAGTCCCCTCTGTGAACGTTCCGTCACCATTGTTCCAGTAGATAGCGCTTGTTTTAAAATCTCCATTCACTATAAGGTCTTGGTGACCTAAAATGCATTTTACATTTATAAATGTCATTGGTGTAATCTTTGAATATTTTGTCGGTAACAGGTGCGAGGGTTCGAAATTACTTTTTGATGACTTGCCAAGTTTTGCAGTTTGGCGTCTAATCTGCAGTTATAGATTACTTTTTGTAAAAGACTTGCAAACTTAGAATACACCAAATTAAGAGCTTTTTTGCGTGTTAAGTTTCGAGTAAGCAACTATCTCGCAAATGAGCTAATAATGAATACTGCATTTAAAGGGTTCCTAGAGTAGATAATCATTGCGATATTTTGACTCACAAACTAATAGAAGCCGTATAAAGGGAATTTAAATAAAACAGGAAATATTTAAACAGTTGCAAACAGGAATTTCACCTGAATTGCCAACATTGTATTCCTCGCTTATCACTCTTAGTAAAGGGAGTCTTACCATCGTTATCCAAATCAGTAAACATGGCTGCCAACTTAAACGGTCCTGGAATGATATCCCTGAGCAAACCAGTGTTCATCACACCGTAGTACCTCACATCAACTCCACCAAACCTGTCTGCGGCCACTGTAGGCTCCTTGGTCTTCCCCAGTCCCGCGTGCTCCGTCACATCTTCAAAGTATCCCGGTTTGCCTTGCGCTCCCAGATTCCTGAGCAGGCGGCAGTTCGAGTGGGTGAAGTTTTTGTAATCGAAGCCGAGATCAAGATGAGGTAGCCACTCTGTGGTGTACATGTCAAGCCAGCCATCTCTGTCGTAATCCCCGACTGCAATGGTCATGGTGCTTGTTTTGTATGGTGGTATCACAGGCTTTAAAGCGACGCCCCTCTCTTCGGCCTCCTCAGTAAAATGGCCCATGCCATCATTTATGTACAGGTAAAATCTATTCTCCGCCATGGTACCCACGTAAATGTCCATGTCACCATCGTTGTCTACGTCCACCCAAGCTACAGCTGACGAGCGGTGGAAAGCAGTCGAGCTAAGGTTGGCTTCGGTAGTAAACTCCTTAAAAGTGCCGTTACCAAGGTTACGCCACAGCTGATCTGGACCATCCATGCGCGCGTAGTAAATATCCATGAGCCCGTCGCCATCGTAGTCTGCAGTTGCTGCCGCACCAGAGCTGATCTCTACAATACAAAACGAACCAGGAATCCAGATTTTTAGCCTTGGATCAAACTGGTCAAACAAGCATTCAGGAGCCTTCGGTGGTTTCTGCTGGATTGCGGTCATGCCCAGGTGCACTGCTACATCTTCAAATTTCATCTGCTAATGTAGAGATAGTATACGATTGAAGCTGTCCTTCAGGAGAATGTTGGGTTGTTAATTAACTGATAGACGATTTGACTGAGGCCTCGAGCTACTGTTATTCTTTCAAGTCCAATACTGTTGTTCTCTACATTTCATGACATGTCTTAGATCAGCAAAAGCTTGGAATAAAAGAATAACAGTACCTCAAAGGCCTCAGTCGAATCGTCTATTGATGTAGAAATATATAGCCTTTATCTGAGCAATGCGTCCAGTTGACCGAAATGAGAAAAAACGCATTAATTGCTCTTGTACTACGTGTCTACAGACGAACCAATAAATTACTACACAACCTCTGAAGAGCTGCAACACACTTCAACAGCATGGAATTTCATGTGGGCCGAGTGAGTAAATACTGAAGTTTAATCGACTTTGATACTTTTACAGCATCATAAGTACAAAAAGCACAATAAGTAATGGTAATAGGACTGAGTGGAGCTCAATTCGGTATGTTGTCATAAGAGTGATAACAAAATCGATTATAAACCGAATTGGACGACGCGAAGTCTTATTACCAATTTATCATAAAAATTACAATTTCCGAATAAAGAAGAATAGCCAAGTTATGAAAGAAAGGCAAAATTTGCATTAAAATACCTACAAAGGAGATGTAAACATTCTAAGGTCACCGCGCCTCCTACCGGCAATTAGGCGCCAAAAACACAAAAGCAAGCAAGCGCACGCACGCACGTAACTACAACTTTGAATGTGACTGGTTGATTTAAGGTGTCTCCATAGGGTAATCATTTATGGCGTTGCGCGCGCAAGTGTTATGTTTTGAATGCTGTTTTTTCATTCGCTTTCACACCTAGTCCTCTCAAACTTATCACATATAATAAGCAATGATTAAATAGTATTTTGCTGTCATCTCTGTTAAAATTTTGGGATTTAGTCTTGAATTTTAAATGCCCAAACAAATTTATTTTTTCCTTTTTTTATGGCTTTATTTGTGATTTTCATGAATTTCCTTCGGTGAAATCTTCCAAAATTTTTACATCACATCGCTTCCAGCGGGATACGAATTTTAA